GTTGACCACTTTATAAATACAGAGAAAGAAGCACCTTTAGCAGAGGGTCACACAAGAGACAATAACTACTTAATGCCAAATTTACACTTTGCCATTTCCTTCTAGAGTAAGTACTAGCTTATGGTCTGCACTGAGGCTTGTTGCTAATTTAGACAAGCTAATTTAGATCAGGATGTGCTTCTGCTTCGTGCCTCAGTTCAGACATCCATCTCTGTAGCTTTCTTCTCAGCAACTGCTCTTACCATCCATCAGAACTCACCATGTGAGTGCCATGTGGTGTATTTGCTTGAAACATGAGAGGAGGTTTTGGAGGGAAGCCAGATGACATGGAAACGAGGAATGTGTCTGAAGGATGCTGTTAGATGTGTTTGTTTACCGTTTAGACCCTCTAGGCATTTTTCTACCTGGTTTGTGTTGTGCTGGTGGTTCAAAATTGTTGTTATGTGCTTTGGAAAGAGGCAGCAGAGCTGTGTTGCCTGGCAGGCCTTTCTCAGCTGGGATGTAGCAAGTGAGGAAGGAGAAACTGCATCATAAGAGCAAGCAATATTGGGCCCTTTCATTTCCCTTGTGAGTTGAAAGTAATGAAATGTTTTTTCTTTGCAGGAGGACCTGTAGTCTATTTGTGTTGACCACAAGCAGCCAAGCAAAGCATCATGACAACCCGTCCAGGAGGTGAGAGAGCAGTCACAGCTGTGAGCCCTGTGTGGACTACACCTGAGAATAAGCCCAACTCGTTCTTGGTGTTATTTGGCAATTAGGTGTTTACCTCACCATGGCAAGGAGAGACGCTGCTAATAGGCTCGTCAGGTTGTGCTGACCTTTGCAGTAGTGTTTTCCTAATGCCAGATTTTGAAATTTTATTGATGTAAAGCATTTTCTATCCAAAGCATTGCTAGGCACGTAAGCTGATATGCCCCTGGATTGCCATCTTGATTGCAGATCTTCCCACTTTGGTGGCAGTAAGTCACAGGCAGTAATCCCCCAGCCTTCAGGCATGTTCCTAGCCTGTAGTATAAGAATGGAGAGGTCCTTTCTGGCTCAATAGAGGCTGAGCAGAAGCAGTTACTGTTCTACAAAGAGATTATATGGATTGTGAGACCATTTCTAAGGCATAAACATGTTATCTTAATGGAATGTGTTTTTCCTTGTCTTTCTAGTGAAACCTCTCCAGAAATCTTCCATCCGAGGAGTTCACATTACCCAGTTTGTGGATAAGATTCCAAAAGGATGCAGCACACCTGACTTTGAGCGGAAACCTGTCAGTCTAACATTGCAGGAAGGTGAGATTCTTTAAAAGAAATAAATGAAAGAAACCCAAACCACCAGTCAGAGCTGCAGACCTGCAGCCTTGATTCCATGTCTCAAATCTGAGTCAGCAGACTAAACAGCTTCTAGCACCCTGCATTTCTTCTCCTGCCTTTGTGTCCATTCTCATGGTCTGCTGAAATTTTATGAAGGTGTGCAGTGGCCTCTAGTGGTGTATTCTTCCTTCTACCAGCAAGTTTCATATATGAAGCAAGGCAATGCTGTATCATCCTGTCTGAATTTTCTGTTGTTTCATCTAATATAGGCTGTGCATAGCTCGTATACAAAATACTAGGGTATTAAGGTCAGACATTGTAAAACAGAGTTCACTGTTTATAAAGATACTGTGAGTATCTTTAATTATATCATCAGTGCTTCATTTCATTCAGTGTGTTAACAGGTATTCCTAGCTGTTAGAATTTGACAGAAGTGTAATCAATTGGAATCAGCCTTGAATAATAAATAGTTCTGATACTGCAGTCTCAAAAGAAGTTTGAAAGAAATGCCCTTTGTAAGAATCTGCTGGCTACATGGCTGCACCATACCTGCTTGGTTTTGGTGGTGACTCTTTAGAAGGGTGTGGGAAATATTGCAAGACTTTCTGGGGAGCTGTTTTTATGTTGTTGGTCATCTGAAGACCAAAGTTATTACAAAGGAAAGATAGTAATCGTTTCCTCTGTGGGTCACATCCACTAATCTCCATTACTGTCCCAGTGTGACACTCCCACTTACCTACTCGTGAGTCACATCTCTGAATTGTTGTTGTATTGTATTCCTATGACTTTGAAGCTCTTTAGAAAAAAAGCAACAACAAAGCATTTGCACGAGATAATGGTAATGCTGTTGGGGATTTCAGTGGTCAGATGCAGGATACTCAGGTTGTTAGAGGAGCAGAGGTGAAGGAGGGAGTTCACAGGTGAACCCCATCCTCTTCTCCCTTGCATCCTCAAATAACAGAGCCTGTTGTGTTTGGAGTGGAAGGGAGTGCCAGGCCAGCAGATTAGAAAGGTATTGCAGAAAGATTAGATGTACATGTACATGAGGAAACACCCTGGCCTGCATGGGTGCTCCCATTTGTTCTTTGCAGACAGTTAAAGTACAGCAGTGGTGGCTTACTCTGAAGAATGCTCTATTGATAACTCAGGGAGCCTGTCATGAGGTCTTCACGTTCAAAAACTAATTTCTTGCCTCTTTCTGAAAGGTAAAAATGCCATATTCAGAGCTGTGGTCAAGGGTGTCCCTGCCCCTGAGGTGAAATGGAAACGTGCAAAAGGAGAAATAAACGATCCTGCCAAATATCTGATGTTCTACAGTCCAGCTACAAGCGAACACATTCTGCAGGTAAAGATCAAATATTGTAGAGAGGACACACAGAACAAAGAGTGCAATGAAATGTATAAATGTGCAGTGATTGATGGGGCTGAGAGCATCAGCATCTAGAATGTGTAGGTAACCAAGTACTAGAAAAGCATAAAACTGAATTTTATCACTCTGTCTGCGTAACGATGATCAGGATGAAATAGGAAGAGGATCTGAAGGCCAAGATAGATGCAGATTCCAAAAGCTAGAGATGATTTCATGATGTGGATTTCTTATCTTAAAATGTGTCGAGGGAGAAAATGGTCTAAGTGTTTCATGAAGAAAAGCTGATCAAGATGTCACCAGGTCTGAAACAGCACAAAAGTTGAGCAGAGTAACTGTAGGAATAAAAGATCTGAAATTCCAGCAAATAATGTTTTGTTAGGATTTGTGTAACTGAACCACAGTACATGACTGTGAGTTCTTACTGTGTTCTTCTTTTTAAGATAAATAAAATCACTGCAGGTGACTCTGATTTGTACCGTTGCTTTGCTGTAAATGAATACGGGGAAGCTTCATGTTCTGCTGGCCTCAGGATCATACAAGGTAGGATTGACAGTTTCTGTAATCCAGACATCCTGTGGTCCCAAACATTGGGCTTCGCTGTCCTCTGCAAGTGGGTGCCCAGAGCATTGTCTAAGTATCTTCAGTGTGGAGAGCTAATTTCTTCTCACTGAGGACTGGAGTTCTGCAACTCCCCCCCTCTTTGGTGCTCCATGACAACATGAGCTTTAAGAAAAGACAGAAGAAGCTGGATGTTGTGATCATTGCACTGGACCGTGCTCAGAAGCTCTGGGTTTAGTGCTGAATTGACTTGATCCTTTATGATGCTGGGCAATTCAGGCAGTCTTTTTGGAGTGATCCATCTCATTTCATTTCAAATGTCTCCACCTGACCTAGCCCACTGTTCCCCTTCATAGTCAGTGGAGAGAAATGTGTTCTTCATGTTCCGGGAATCTACTTGGGCTGAAGGTGTGGACTAATTTGGAAGTGTCTGCTTCACCTGCCTACCTATAAAATAAGCTTAGAAAGCAATTACCTGCATTGTGCCTGGTAATCCTTGCACCCTAGCTCTCTGAAAAAAATAATACTGGTATTTCCCAGCATTACTTAAAATACAAGCTTGCTCTACAAGGGCAGAGACAGCATTCCCCACTGCATGAAATATCTAATGAGCTCAGAAGCAATTGCAGTAGAAATGCAGTGTTAAGGATGTATATTACTAGGAATCAGCATCAAGTTGACAAGGAAATCCAAGCTAGAATTAATTTTCCTCTTGCATTAATGACAAATGTATTGGTTTTATAATTCATAGTCTTACTGATATATAGTTTGTTATCTTGTTTATCTCATTGATTGTTTTTTCCTATTTTTTCTCTTCTAAACTACCAGTTGGCTTTAAGAGGAAAGCAAACTATGTTACTGGTCGTCCTGCTGAAGGTGAGTTAGATAAATATTTTTGGCATACTGAACACTGCTAAGTCTAGCACATTCCTACCTATTTTCCTTGGTTAACGTGAGGAGAAAAATCAGCACAGAAGGTGGGGAGGAGCGAACACAAAGTGAGACATTGCATTGTGAATGTAGAAAATGCCAAAGGCCTTTGAGGAAGGAACACAAGAGTATTGCCAGCTCTTACCTGCCTCCCAGTCTTTAACAGAGGATACAGTGATTAATTCTTCAGTCATTACAGCAGAAACAAAAGGGACGTGAAGAAATTGTCTCCATTCTGAACGGGAAAAAAGCCCAGCAATGTAATTTAGGAGTTTCTCTGTTTTTTGTGGCCTTGAAACTTATCCCGAACTTGCAAAGAATGCAGTAGGAGAAAGGTTATAAATTTCTAGAGTTCTGTGCATTCTGTCTGCTTGGTACTTACCTTTGGGTGAAATGACATGTTAAAATATGGCTTTGAGCTGTTATAATTAATGATTCCTTTTCCCTTTTGTCCTCTGTAATAGATTTGAAAAAGAGTCTTCAGGACCTCAAGAAGACGCTGAAGAAGCGGTAAGCCTCCATATAATGAAGACCATTTTAATACTTCCCAAGTGTTTCTTGACATGATAGCTTCTTAAACCTTCGTCTCTTTTTGTTTTTGAAGTTGCTCACATTACGGAGAGATATGACAGAACAATTTACCACCCTTTGTGAGGCCAAAAGACCCCAATATTTTTTCTTTTCTACGTGCACAGGGACAAGTAAAGTACAGAAGTAACAGAGAAAGCTGAAAAGAGGACAAAGTGTAGAGGAATAAGACGCCTTGTTTTCTATCAAAGTTTCTTGATATTTTTTTTTAATTCTTGGTTCTTAGGGCTCCACTACCAAAACAAAAAGTACTGGACAAAGAGGCAATCTTCCAACTGTTACTGCATGCAGATAAGAAAGATTATGAGAGAATCTGTATTAAATATGGAATTTCTGACTTCCGTGGCATGCTGAGAGCACTGCAGGATTTGAAGAAGGATACGGAGAATGAACAAGCGAAGGTAGGATAAACTCTGGGGCACTGAAAGCACTGAGTTTTAAACAAACTGCCAAGTCCCACAGTTACTCAGTAGCTTCTGAAAACAGACTTAGACCTTCCTAAATTGCTTTGAAGGTGAAAATTTTATTGTGTGGCAAGGAATGATTTACGGTGATGTTTTGAAGTCAAAAAGCTACTGACTTTTTTGAAGTTGACCTCATAAATTTCAGGAGATCCTAAGTTTAGGATGATCTGTTTATTAAATTGCATATCTTCAGAGACAACTGATTACACAATTTAGCTAATTTGAACATTAAATTGGAGGTTTATATGCATATACAAACCATGTAGAAACCTGGGCAGGAAGAGGTTGTGTGCTGTATGAATGACCAGTACCTCACACATTAAATACAATTTAGCCACAGGAGGTAACTCAGGAAACTTACAGGTGCTTCTTCCATACACGTACAGTCAGAGGTAACTCTTTCCTGTGCAGATGGAAGGTAGATTTCACACTAGTTCAATAGCTTAAGAACTTCTGTCATGATAGTCTTAACCTTATCTTTTACTAAATTCTTGTTGGTTTTTTTTTGTTGTTGTTTTTGCAGTTAATTCACAGTATCAGAAACATGGAACACATTAAGGTCAACAAGGATGGAAGTGCTTCGTTTAGCCTGGAGATGGACCTGAAAAGTGCTAGCAGCAACATTTATCTGCTTAAGGTAGGAGGGGAGAAATGAGTTGGCCAGTTCTTCAGACACTGTAGTTGTCTGCATGAAATACTTTATCGATTGGGCAGCATGTGGGGGCAAGAAAGTGTCTTAAAGAAGTCTGTCCATCACAGAGTCCTTGCCTGGCTAGGTAAAAAGTGTTGGCTTGGTGCAGCAGAAAGATTTCAGCCAGTTACTGACATCTTGTTGACTTCAAGAGCTCTTCAGGTCAGAAGAACTCTAACTATGGCTTTCAGGGTGCACAGATTCTGTCGTCTCATAATGGAAAGACAGATTTAATTCACTTAATGTTATATGCCATTCTAATTCAATTTTGTGAAAGAAAATATCAAGGAAGGAAAACATCCCATGGAGTCCTGCAGTTACTCTGCTGTGATTGGCATTGTGGATGTTCTTCTGGAAGATTTCAGTAGAACTGTCGTTAGTAGCTTTAGTACAGGGGAAAATGGACTTAATTAAAGAGGAGGTCAGACTGAGGGCTTCCAAATTGCAATCTATGCAGTCACAGCAAGAGCAAGGGGACTCAAATGTGTCACAGATGGGAGAGTGGCAAACTTGCCTGTTTACCTGTTTGTGGAGATACTAAATCTTTGAAGTTTTAGCAGCTGTGTATTAGTTAAGCTTCAAAACCTTACATAAGCTTGCAAAGCACTTGGCCTGACGTGAGAGTCAGACACTATTCTGTACAGGTCTTATTGCACATATAATTGCCTGTGTTTTATATAAACAGTGAGCACTGTCCACTGCAAGTTGTAATAGAGTGTAGACTTTTCTCTTGTTTCTCGTTAGTATCAAGAAAGCATTCATAGCAAGAAATTTAGCCTGATTTTTTTTTTTTAAATGTCTTCTGCTAATTGTATGCTGCCTCTAAGAGTACTTTGTTTCTCTTCCTAGGATGGTGAGAAGGTCCGTTACGGAACAGGGGATGAATACAGAAAGTATTACCTTAGACAGATTGGAAAGAAGTATCATTTTATTGTCAATGATGTGCATCCAGAAGATGCGGGCTTGTATCAAGTCAGAGTGGAGGATGTACCTATTTTCTCAACTGAACTGGACGCTGAATGTAAGGTTTGAGTTAAATATGGGTAATGTGCAGCTGTAACAAGAATTTATTTTTCACTGCAAAGTTTCATGTAAGGCCATGTGTAAAGCTCAGCAGCCAAAGCTGATAACAGCAGAAGACTGTTTTTTGTGTTGCCACATAAGGGTTTGTTCCTTATGACACAGGTAGAAAACAGGTGATCGTTGTGGATGGATGTTGCATTTGTATTCCAAAGGACGAGGTTCAGGTTTTGATCTCTGGATGGCAGAGTTCATTAGTTTATGCTATATTTTTGTCAGCTCAGAATAATAACTGCCAACCTTAATGATGATATCCTACTGCTGAAATAGATTAATGACAGCAAAGTACAGCACATCACAGTGATGGGTAGTATAAATGTTGATGCTAAGATTAAAAAAAAGACAAAAATCTGCCTTTCTCTCCCTTAGAACTGGGCACAGGAGCGCATCCCAGTTTTTCTTTTGCTGCCTGATGTGATCACAGGCATAGCAAGTCTCTTTCTTCCTTCAACAGCAACACGTTTTTCTGGGAAGACAGAACCGGCTCCATTTCCTTTCTTTTTTTCCATTCCAGCCATCCCTGTGAGATTTCAGAAGCCGCTCACGGATCTGCGTTGTCATGAGGAGGAAGATGTTATCTTTGAGTGTGTCCTGCGCACTCCCTGCTATGATGCTGCGTGGTTACATAAAGCCCACCCCCTCGAAGCAAGTGAGAAGCACCAGATCTCTGTGAGCCCCGATGGTCTGATCCATCAGCTTATTATCAAAAATGCTGTGACCTCTGACAGTGGCTTGTATACACTCGACACTGGACTCTGCTCCTCCAGGGCCTGGCTTCTTGTGGAGCGTAAGTGGCACACAAATAATATTCCTCTCACTGTCTTATTGATTGCTGAGAAGTGAAATGTGGAGCCTCTAGTTTCTAAGTAGTGTTTGTAGAAATGGCAGTCTGATTGGAGCTTCTTTCCTCCTTAAATGTGACAACATTTTCCCTTGTTATTTGTCCTGACATGAGGTCCTGCTTCAGAGCTGGGAACTGATGGACGCTGTGCATGGGATGTTCTGTAACTCATTCAGGTCTGCAGGGAGGGAGAAGGCAGGAGGCACAAATGAATCCCAGATACTGCTTATGGTCCTTTTAATTGGACTTATCATGCTGGAAATGTGCCCTCTTTTTTCCATTTCTTAGAGTTGGTTTTTCCTTTTTGCTTTTATTTGTTTTGTTCTTTTGCAACAAGCATGTTTCTGCTAAAAGTAGTTGTTATCTTAGCTAAGAAATATAAAACTGTCTTAGTGTGACAAATAAAATTAGGGTTTGAACTGAATATAAGTTTATTTAAATAAAATAAAGAAATTATATTTCTGTGACTTAGAATGAAGAACTAATGCTAATATGTTTTCTGTGGTTGTTGCAGTAGGTGACATACTGATTGCCTGTTGCTTTTTTTATCTTTCTTTTGCTCTAAATTATTTCTCCTCCAATCAAACACTACGTCTTCAATACAGATGCCAAAGAGGCAAAGGTACAGGATGAGGAACATGAAAAATCTGACCATCAGAAGGGAACACCAGATCAAGACAGAGCTAAGAAGCTTAAACGTGGAGAGTATCTTGGTGATGAAGATCATCCTATGGATGCTGGCATGAAAAGAGGTGGCTGGTACAGGAGTGACCAAAGCGGCAGTCAAGGCTACTCCACTGATGCTGATGGAGAATTTAAATTTTTAGGAAAAGAAGGGCTGCACAAAACCAACAGAGATGGAAGCATGGGGCCTGGGCAGTTTTCTAGAGAAGAGGGAGATGCAGACTCAATGATGGGTGGTGCCAGTAACATTGGATTAAAAATTGGAGAAGACAAAAGTGGATTGAGGCATGCACAAAGCCAGGGTTCTATGACAGGCAGAGGAGATACTGATGATGGATTAGGAGGAGGAACTAAATCTTATTCTGTAGATGGCAGACATGATAGCCTGTTAGGTGCAGTTGATGTTGACATGGGTGATGCAGAAGGGGTGAACTCTTGGCATGACAAGAATGCTAAATTAGGTGATGCTAGTTCTAGAGCTGCTTTTGGTGGTATGAAGAGTTTAGATGCTACTGATGGAAGTTCTGTGTCAGGTGGAATCAATCTTGATTCAACCAGAGTGGGAGGTGCACATTCTGCATACAGCAAGGGTACTCTGCCTGCTGCAGTTGATATGGATGGAGTCAATATAAATAGAGAAGGAGAAATAGGGTCTCCCTACAGCAAAGGCAACCTGATAGTTGATGCTGGTGGTCATGTAGGTCAGGCGGGAATGTCTGGCTTGCCGTATGGTCCAGGTAGTCTTCCAGCTGGAGATGGGGGTAGGCCTGGTGCAGGTGGCAGCTTTGTAGGAGAAATGGAGGTTTTATACGGTCCAGATGGTCTGCCAATTGGGGCAGGTGTTGATGCTACTGCAGCTAAAAGGGGGGATCTGTATGGTAAGCCTGGTCAGTTAAGTGAACATTATGGAAAGGATGGTTTACCAGCAGGAATGGAAGCTGGGCTTGGTGGTGCTGGTTTGGAAGGTGCTGGCTCTATATATGGAAAGGTTGGTGTTGGTGGTGCTGGTATAGCTGGTGCAGCTGGTGCAGGGGAATTTGGGCCGTTATATGGAAAAGATGGACTCCCAGCTGGGGCTGTCATTGGTGGCACTGGTGCAGGGGCAGTTGGGTCTCCATATGGGAAGGATGGTCTTCCAGCTGGAGCAGGGGCTGGTGTTGGTGGTGCAGGTTTAGCTGGAGCAGGTGGAGTTGGGTCTCCATTTGGGAAGGATGGTCTCCCAGCTGGAGCTGGAGCAGGGGCTGGTGTTGATGTTGCAGGTTTAGCTGGAGCAGGTGGAGTTGGGTTTCCATATGGGAAGGATGGTCTCCCAGTTGGAGCTGGAGCAGGGGCTGGTGTTGCAGCTGGAGCTGGGGCTGGTGTTGCAGGTTTAGCTGGTGCAGGGGCAGCTGGATCTCCATATGGGAAGGATCGTCTCCCAGCTGGAGCTGGGGCTGGTGTTGGTGGTGCAGGTTTAGCTGGAGCAGGTGGAGTTGGGTCTCCATATGGGAAGGATGGTCTCCCAGCTGGAGCAGGGGCTGGTTTTGGTGGTGCAGGTTTAGCTGGAGCAGGGGCAGTTGGATCTCCATATGGGAAGGATGGTCTCCCAGCTGGAGCTGGGGCTGGTGTTGGTGTTGCAGGTTTAGCTGGTGCAGGGGCAGCTGGATCTTCATATGGGAAGGATGGTCTCCCAGCTGGAGCAGGGGCTGGTGTTGCAGGTTTAGCTGGTGCAGGGGGAGCTGGGTCTCCATTTGGAAAGGATGGTCTCCCAGCTGGAGCTGGAGCAGGGGCTGGTGTTGCAGGTTTAGCTGGTGCAGGGGCAGTTGGGTCTCCATTTGGGAAGGATGGTCTCCCAGCTGGAGCAGGGGCTGGTGGTGCAGGGGCAACTGGATCTCCATTTGGGAAGGATGGTCTCCCAGCTGGGGCTGGTGTTGGTGTTGCAGGTTTAGCTGGAGCAGGGGGAGCAGGGTCTCCATTTGGGAAGGATGGTCTCCCAGCTGGAGCTGGAGCAGGGGCTGGTGCTGGAGTTGCAGGTTTAGCTGGAGCAGGTGGAGTTGGGTCTCCATATGGGAAGGATGGTCTCCCAGCTGGAGCTGGAGCAGGAGCTGGTGTTGGTGGTGCAGGTTTAGCTGGAGCAGGGGGAGTTGGGTCTCCATATGGGAAGGATGGTCTCCCAGCTGGGGCTGGTGGTAGTGTAGCTGGTGTAAGGGATGCTGGCTCTTCCTATGGAAAAGATGGTCTCTCAGCTGCAGCTGTGTCAGGAGCAGCTCATTTTCCTTCAGGAGGTGAAGAAGTGATGGGATCTCACCATGGTCGGGATGCTATGCTAGGCAGAGCTCAAGGGTCTGTAGGTGGAGTAGGAGGATCTGGCCTATCCTCAGAAGGTGGGGCTGTTGGTGGCTCTGCCATACAAGGTGCTGGATCTGCATATGGGTCAGCTGGATCCAGGGCTGGTGAAAGTGGTGCTAGCAGATTGGGAGGTGGTGGGAGTGAGTTGCATGGTAAAGAAGGTGTGGTAGGTGCTGTTGGAATGGGTGGTGACTATGGGCTGGATTCACATGCTGGCAAATCTGCATATGGTGAAGCTGGGAAGGGGGCTGCCAGTGATTTCAGAGGATCGGAGCACAAAGGTTCATCCCATGACAAAGAATCACTTTCAGGTCAGGGTGATGCTAGGGACAGTGACTTAGGACAGTCAGGCTCTCTTTATGACAAGGATTCCTCTTTTGGAGGTGCAGAGGGCAAATTCCATGATAGATTGTTTGGTGGGTCGAAGCCAGGTCTTTTCAGTCAAAGTTCACAGGGTTCTGATCAGATGTCAGCCCTTTATGGTGGTCCTCCAGTAAGCCAGAGAAAACAGGTACCTAGCCTTGATATTAAAGGAAGTGATTTCTTGAAGAGTACAGAAAGTACAGAAAAGAGAAGACGTCATCACCTCGATGATCTGAAAGGTATGTGTTTAATTCTGTATCACTGATCTTTGCATTTCGATACAAACAAGAACAAGCTCTGGATCTTCCATTTAGGATGGTGCAGCCCTTTACATTTATAGAGACTGGGAGACGTGAGGCTAGAGAACACTCAGGAAAGAAGAATGTTGTGTGTGCAGCCATTTGAATATTAGCAGTGGTTGCACTAGCAAGATGACAGCATCAAAACCTGGAAAAATGAGAAAACTTATATGTATGGTGGAGGGACTGTACATGCCTAGTGGAACTGCAAGAAGCACACAAAAAGTATATTGTACATACAAGGGCTGTATTGTATGCATCCAGCTAGAATGTCCTTCAGTGCAGCTGGCCAACATCATCATTTATAAAAACCCACCACAATGTGTTATGACTGAAGTATTTAGAAAAAAACAAAGCTGTCTTTTCTCCTCACTTGCACACACTCTGTCAGTGCAAGACAGACTTAGCATCTTTTCAACATTTTCTTTTCTGAACATTCAGCTCCACGCTCTCGTGTCAACAAGCAGTTAACTGATGTCAGAGTCCTGAAAGGGGAACCAACTGAACTGTCTTGTGCTGTCAATAGACATGACTTAACAGGAACCTGGTTTAAGGATGGGTTAAAGGTAAGTGTCCCCTCGCCTGTTTTCTTCACTTAGTAATGCCCTGCTCTCTGACTTCACTTCTCATTGAGTATCATGCCAAGATGTCCATCCCTCTGCCAGTCATACTGTGATCTGAGTATAGTCCTAGGAGGCCTCTGCAGGAGACTGTTTAAATATTCTGGTTAGAAACTCACCAAGATTTTTTTCACCTTCCTACTGCAAGACATTTCCATTCTTGCCTCCTTAGGAAGCTTTGGATTTTCCTTTGTGTTTTCCATTTGAGGGCTGGAACCAGATGACCTTTATGGTTCCTCCCACACTAAGCCAATCTATGATTCTTTTACATAGGTGGAGATGAAATGGGGCTTTTCTTTGTGCTGCAATCCTTTTTCTTTTCTTTGGTGTGCCAGAGAAATACACAGAAAACAAGGGAAAACCTTCAAATGATCTTCAGGCAGGCATAACTTGCAGTACTCATTCAAATCAGTGCTTAGAATCAAGTGTAGACATCATATTCTATATCCCAAAAGAACATTAAAAAACCTAGGTCACACTGTGGGATCTGCGTGATACTGTCAGAAGTTCCAAGGTGCCATCCTGGAGCCTGGACCAAAGTTTAGCATTAAGAATAGAAAAAGAGGCTTTGGTGACAGTAGTATTTTAGGGTCAGAGGTAAAATTAATGCTTCTGTTTATGTTAATGGACTTTGATTCAAGCTTTTGTGGTGGTGAATTTGTTACCAGGTATGTAATCCCAGGTTAATATTGTAATTAAACATGTATTACATTCATAAATGTTTCCTTTTCATTTTAATTTTTTTTGTGAATGAGTACTTGGGCTTTATCTTGTAGTTAACAACCATGGATGGAGTCTCTTTCGAGAAGGAAGGTCTAGTCCACAAACTCATTATTAGCAAAGCAGAAGATATTCATGCTGGGAAGTATAGGTTTGAAGCTGGAGATATAAAAACTGAGGCTTCAATTTTTGTTGAAGGTGAGTCTGTTCAAACTACCCATGCTTTTAATGCAGAATGCTGGTCTTGCACTGCTTGAAATGTGATAGGTTCCCTCAGGACCTATAGTTGGTTATTGGGATTTTATTGTGATTATTATGTGGGAGATGTTACAAGCTGATACATGAAAATATAACTATGGAGCCTTTGTGAAAAGCTTCTCACTACTAATTTAAAGACTTGGTGGGTGCACATACTGCTTTACTAAACCAGGCTCTTCATTCTTGTGCTGCTGATGAAAATTTGCTCCGGTGCAAAGGAGCAAATTGATACCATAAATGCTTTATGAAAATTATCCTGTAGCAAAGTGCATATGTGTGTGTGGAGCACTGAGTGTACAAATGAAGGTGAAGGTACACATTTTTGCATCATGGATGTCACTGATTTGGATAAGCCCCCAGAGAACCAAGTTAAATTTTTTGGAATGTATTTTGGAATGTATGTTTGGAATATATAGCAACAGTGAATGCAGAGTTCTTTCCTCCAAGGTTAGCCTTATCCTCTTTGATCTGCAGTTTTTAATGACCTTGTATTGTTGTTTTAGATCCTCCACAGGTTGACGAAATTCTCCTAAAAAACTTAATGAGTGTTCCTACTGTGGCCAAGGCAGGGGAAAAAGTTGTGATCAAGATCCCTTTTGAGGGCCGGCTTCCAGTCAGAGCAATGTGGCTAAAGGACAAAATAGAACTGGGAGATGACTCAAGGGTTCGTGTTGATAAAACAGACACCTTTACCATGCTGTCCATCTCCAGTGCTGAGAGAAAGGACTGTGGGGATTACAAAGTCAGGCTGAAGAATGACAGTGGAATCCTGGATATTGACCTAAAGGTTGAGGTAATAGGTAAGATCCCCATTAAATCTACAATGCTTCCATCATAAGGATGAGGAAGCAGAACCAGTAGTTCTGGTCACAGCCTTATTTAAGGCTACCAGCTATTCCAGGATGAACAAGGCTATGTTTCCAATAGATCAGGATGCAGGCAGTGGTTGTTGACATGTTACTTGCCCTTTAATACGACACATATCTAGTTTCATTTAGACAGCCTCATTAATTGAGTTTTGAACGTTGAGAGATTGTGGAAGGTAGGGCTACACACAGCAGGCAAATATACAGACACAACATCAAGGTCAAATTCAGTCCTACCATAAATGTCTGTACTGTCAGTGCAGTGCTTATGAGAGCAGTCAGCCCATGGGGAAAGGGCTTGGCTTCCTCCCCTGTTTATCAAAATTAGAAGAGTGGACATTTGAAGAGACAGCTTAAGTACCTGGATTTCAATCTGCAAGTAGGCATAAGTACCATCAGAAACTGAGCATTCCTGCTTGTGAGCAAGAGAGACTGTCTGCTCCAAGCCTGGGAATGCATCTGGATCTGGAACTAAGCTGCTTGTGTTTGTCTTTTCAGACAAGCCACAGCCACCTGCAGGACCCCTGAAAATTGTAGGAAGCTCTGCACATGATGTCACCATTCAGTGGAATCCCCCGAAGGATGATGGGGGCAAACCAATACAAAACTACGTTATTGAGAAACAGCAGGTAGGCAAGAGCAACTGGGTGACTCTGGGAGAAATCCCCAGGAGCTGCACTACTTTCACTACCAGCAAAGTGGAACAGGACATGAGCTACTACTTCAGAGTGAGAGCTGTGAATGCAGAGGGAACCAGCGAAGCACTGGAATCAGATGAGGTGGTGACTATCAGTAAAGGTGAGGAACAACTTGTTATGATGGTGTCCCAAAACCCTATGGGAAATTCATTGTCAAAGTTTCACATCAAGAAAACTGCTTGCATTTTGGATGTTGCTACAAATTTAAACCTGAGTCATGGTTGTGAAGTCTTCACACAAATCTGTGCTTGCCAGTCATAGCCTGGGCTGCATAAAAAAGAGCTTGGTCAGTAGGTCAGGGGCAGCTCTGGGGCTCCCAGGCTAGAGAGATGCAGACCTCTTAGAGTGGGTCCAGAGGAGGGCCATGAAAATGATCAGAGTGGTCTCAGTCAGATTTTCAAAACGCACCCATATAAATACGTTGGAGAAACCTGGAAGAAATGATCTAGCAGGTATATTTCCATATCTTTCAATAAAGGTATTCTAATAATAAAACATTGATGTCTTTCTTAGCTTCACCTGGTGCCCCAGATCCTCCCGAGATCATCGGTGTCAGCAAAGACACCATCACAATATCCTGGAAGGCACCTCGGAAAACTGGGGGCTCCCGAATTTCGGGGTACATCGTTCAGAAACGCAAGAAGGGTAGCATGACCTGGGTGCCAGTCAACAGTGTGCCCATAGCAGGTGGGTAGCTTACTTAAACCCTGGATCAAGTTTGAAAGGCTTGAAAAAAGGCTGAGAGCTCATTGTGTTGAGGTCAGAGGGTAACGTGCTATTGTATCCATCAGGTGCAGGCTAGGACCTGTTTTCTGATACAGAAGAGTTTAGGATTATCCTATAAGGAAAAGCAATGTTATCATTTCTGTAGCTAATAGCTCTCAAAGAATATTTTCTTTGGAAGAGAATACAATAAACACACCTTAGAAGTATGCATACTTTAGGATAGGAGAAGACAAGGGAACTTGGGGCAGCATTTGTACTTTACTCCTGAGAATTCAGTCTACTGTTCTGTAAGGATTAAAAGTACAACACTGTCTCACTGTTTTCTGCTTGAGGAACTGCTCACTCAAGCCAACATCCTCGTTTTCTGTCTGCAGACAAGAAGCTGAAAATAACTGATCTCAAGAAGGGTCTGCAATATGAATTTTGTGTGGCAGCTGTCAATGCTTCTGGTATGGGTGATATCAGTGCACCATCAGAAGCTGCCTTTGCTCGGGACTCCACAAGTAAGTGACCTGCCACCATCCTTCTGTCTTGGGAGCACCTGAATGGAGACTGGGGATGTTATTGAGGAGGCAGTGTTGTCAGTGCTTTGTAAAAGTACGTGAAGATAACAAATGGGGAATGTTTCATGGCTGAGCGTGCGCTGCCTGCATGAGAAAGGAATGGAGGGATTTCCTGTGTGATGTTTAAGTCAGGATATGGTGGATGCCCTGTGCAGAAGTTGTGCGGTGTGAAGATTGGGTCAGGATGGGCTGCAGACCATTTCAGGAGTGTTGCAGGTACTTTGATCCACCTTTGAAAGACAGAGACAAAATGGTGGCAGGATATCAGAGTGGATATCCAATGCACTGCAAAAACATTGAGGATCTCAGGAAGTGACTGAAGTGAGGGTATACATATACTAGAAAAATAGCTTAAATAAAATTTCCCTTTTCAGAACCTCCAGGTAAAGTGAGGGACCTTAAAATGACCATCAGTGACAGCAGTAGTGTCACCCTGACATGGAATGCACCTGAAGCAGAAGAGGGAAGTGGTGCGAAAGGCTACAATGTGGAGATGCGGTCTTCTAACAGCCTCAGCTGGACCAAATGCAACATTTTTCCTATAGAGACGACCACTTACAAAGTTAAAGGCCTGCATACCAAGGAGACGTACTTCCTACGTGTGAGAGCCATCAATGACTGTGGCCCAGGAGAAGCCACAGAGCTTGAAGCTTTCACTGAAGTTGTTCCTCCTGTTGGTAAGTCTGTTACGCATCAGCTTGTATTACTGCTCTTCAAGATCCCTCGAAACACAAAGAATTTTTGAGAACATCAAAAAATGCTCTTAGTCCAGCTCCCCTTGTCATAAGTGTCCATTGCAATTTCTTTTTGCATTCACATCATTTTACACAGAGGATCATCCATGTAATGGGGTGAAGCGTGTCATAGTTTTTTCCGTGACTGAGACATCAGATGTATGCAAACATTGTAGTGAACGTAGCTTAACATCCTTTCCTCTCATTTAATTAGAGTGCTAAGTGAAAAATAATAAAACATGAAAGGTGCAGTGATTAGCAAAGAACTCTGCTAGTGAATCAAGGAACTTTTTTTTCTACTGTACCACTGACTTTATCAACAGCCTGCAGACAAGCTGTTGGAAAGGCTAGCACATGCATGTGAGTTTGTCAGCCGATGATTATGTCATAACATAAAACTGTTTACAGTAATCACTGTCTTTTCCAGTTTCTCCCAGGTTCATAATAGACAAAACAGTGAAAAATTTCCTGGTTATAAAAGCAGGAAATGCCATTCGAGTGAATATTCCTTTTGAGGTAAGTTTTCAGATTGAAATCCTTCTTTTTTTTTTTTTTTCATGTGTACAAGACACTGGGCAAATCCTTTAATCTGCCTGTGCTGTGTATGCTTTCTGCATGAGGAAAACAGGAAAAAAGAATTCAGCTGTCACTCTTGACCATTCATGGTTTATGAGATTTGTAGTCATCCAGTAACCCCAGCAGATAAAGTGCTTGGAATGCTCTCCATCCAACCATCTCAGAGTTATCACCATCTGTGATCTGGAACTGATCTCCAGCTCCCTCAGAAAGCCTTAGGGGGTAGCATTTCTAGCAGCATTCTTTTGACTGTGTTTGTCTTACTGCACAGCAGGACATAAGTTATCACTTATAAATCCAGTGTGCTTTGACATAAGGTTGGAACAACACAGGTAGAGTCTGGGATATCAGGAGGAAGGTAGGAAGGTGTCAAAGGTGAAGTGTGCATACTGATGACCTTGCTCCAACTCAGCTGCTCTTTTGGAATGTAGAGCCCAAAGATGGAGAAATAGAAATATACACTTCTAGGACATTGTTTTTCTTTCTTTCAGAAACAAGTACATGTTTTTTAAAGTAGAAAATGTTAACTACTGATGTCTGTTGTTTTTGATCTAGCATACCTTGTTTAACAATAGCTGTACCTGAGCACCTTTGTAACTTTGTACTAAGAAACTCTTGAGCAGCTCTCTATCCAGGGCTCTTAGAGCCAATCTCTGATAGTCCAGTATAATACTTACTGTGTCATGTAGATGTGCATTTTGAATGAGGTAATGAAACTTTGGATGTAAAGACAGCATTTGGAGGCGAAGCACATGTGCTGAAACCAGACTTATTCTTCACAGGCACCTCCAGATTTTGTGCTGACCTGGTTAAAGGATGGGGTTCCTCTTCCAAGCCGTGCTAAAATAAGCACCCAGGATGGTACCTCCCAGCTGCTGATTAGAGCAGCTGAGTTCACTGACAGTGGCATCTATACCGTTGAGCTCATGAGTGGGACAGGGAAAAGAGAAACATTCAGCTTCCAAGTTCAAGTTACAGGTAACTACATGCATTTCTGTGTGTGTTTGTGTGCATAACAGATTTACAGGTGAATATGTAGTAGGCAGCGAACTGAGTTCAGCCCTCTTACCTTTATCCACAAGAAGGAAAGAACTCCCAGAAGTTCAGTCTAATGCAGCAGAAGCTCAGTTGCTAACAAATAAGCTCGTGCATCTGGAGAAGGAATCAAATTTTGTCCCATCTAATGACCAGGATGTCTCCCAAAAGCTCAATTACGAAATATGAGATGGACTTGAAGCTTTTAGGGTGCTGTGCCACTTTCCCTGCATCTTCTCTATTGCTTGTTTTCATCTGACAGATATCCCACAACCACCTGGACCTATTGAACTGAGAGAGAACGTGCCAAATATAGTGACAGTAACCTGGGAGCCATCAACATCTGAGAAACGGGAAAGCAATCTCTTCTACACAGTCTTGAAACGCGAATCACAGAAAGGCTTGTGGCACGTGGTGGGTGACCTGATCTACACCAACAAATTCACTTACACCAAAGTGATCCCAGGCAGGGACTACTACTTCAGGGTTGTGGCAAAGAATCACTTGGGATCCAGTCGTCCATCCGACACTGTGCAGCCTTGGAGAATTCGAAAACAAAAAGGTAAAATGCTTTTACAAATAGCTGTCATGTAACGATGTTGTTGTGCTTCGCTCCTTGTTTCTACCACACTGTCTTGGAATAGGATCCTCCTCCTGTAAACATTTAGTTGCCCAAAATGAGAGTGCGTAGAGAATACCCTAAGAAATTCCATTTTGGTAGGGAAGGATTATCATTTCTGCATGGTTGTTGTTGCAGACCTTTGTTTCCTGCTGTCACGTAATTTGTTATACTAATTCCCAGCAAGATCTAAGGTTTAGATTTTGCAGAAACGAATGTTTGTGGCTGCAAGTTAAACTCTGGCCAATTTGAGAAGGAACACCAATTGCAATCCACAGCTGTGTTGCATCTCAGACTGTTTGTGGTGCAGAATGCCAGATGTTAATTGTCATGCTTTTAAACCAATCCTTTGCTCTGACTTCCATCCCCACGAAGCAGTGTCTGGGTTAGTATGTGTCATGTGGTATGTTGCTCTTTTCCTCCTTTCACCAGCTGACATTCAAGTCAGACCACAGAGGTACAAGGGAGTTAATCAGAACCAGCCCCCAAGATTCCTCGTCCCCCTGAAGCCCCACGTGGTGACCACTGGCAGCGAGTGCCGCATGAGCTGTGCAGTTGGAGGCCATCCACCTCCAAAAATCACGTGGTACAAAGATGGGAGAGACCTCTCCAATAATCCTTCCTATTTTGGCACAAACGACTTTGGTGTCTGCTCCCTGGTGATCTTTGGTGTTTCCAAGGCTGATGAAGGTGACTACACGGTTGAAGCCACCAATGATTCAGGCCGTGCTTTCAGCAAAGCCTCCCTCACTGTTAAAGGTAACAGTCTTTAAATATCCCTTCCTCTCATCGTGTGGTGTCAAGGTAAATGTTATTGTGTCAAGACACCTTAAAAGTAGTAGCCATACAGGTGTATGTATTAATAGGAGCAGTATCCTATGATGCAAAATGTGTCTGGACCGCTTTATTGAACTTTTAATTAACCTACAAAGTGGTCGAAGTGAAACGGAAATGAAAAGGCAGATGTGGAAAAAGAAAAATACTTGATTTCCTCATGAGTGCAGCAGTTTGGATTGACATCGAGCAAATCTTTTAGAAATAAATATCCAGTCTTCATTTAATAAGGCAGTGTCTGTGTTAGATTTCTCTGCAGTGAAGGAGATGCAGGATGGAAGATCTGGGTGGTAGGAAGGTTAGGTGAAACAGTGAGAGAGAAGCTGGGGTTGGTTGAGCAAAGGCAATGAGAAGGGAAGAATGAAAGTTAGCCAGAGTCAACAAGGGTCCTGATGTGAGTGCAGAATGAGTGTCGTTGGCCAAGAGGGACATGTGGTGAATGGACTTATGGATAAATTTTGTTAGCAGTTCACTCAGGTCATTATGAAATATCCTTTAGTTTGAGATATATTTCTCTATGTAGGTCAGGATGCTGTGGTGAGATTATATGAATGGAGAAATGGGTCAAATAAATCCTTTTTCAGATGTTGGTCATTTTGACCCTCTAACATTTGAGGGTGCCCTGTCAGACCATCTCCCCTGCTGAGTTGCTTCTCTTTCTCTTTCAGACTTCCGCCTGTAACAGGACCTTCCTGAAACCTCCTCTGCACTCCAGTGTGAATAAGGTTTTCTCTGAGAACTGGCCCTGCACAAAGGCTACGTGTCTGTTTTCAGATGTGCAGTATAGTCTGAGTGCTTTCTTTTTCAGATCCAGTAGTTGCATTTTGAACAGGATGCTGCATTGTAGTCAAAACGGTGGGGAAAAGCTTTGAGAATTGTATGATCCTGATTTTCTTCTACGACCTTTAAAATACAAATGAGAAGCTTCCGAAACTCAGAAGATGAGAGGGAGAAATAATTGGCCAAAATGAGACTTTGCATGGAGAAGACAGGTGTGAGACCATTCTGCCACACCTCTTACTGCTCAGGCTGCCAGCTTTATCTGTGTAAGAGGAATTCTCAGACAAGGCTAACATGAGGTAGTGCTACTGGCAGTGAAAGTGGGTGGACAAGAATGAATGGAAATCTAGAACCAGTTGTATTTGTGTGAGCAGATCAGCTATAAAAAAGGATGTAGCAGTCCTGAGCTACCACATTAACATCACCTTTGAAACATAGCTGTCCCTACCTCGTGGCATCCCTAGAGTATTATTGCTTAATGCTAAAAGAGGTTAAAAATCTTTCATGTTTGACCAGAAGTACGAAGTACAACCAAAGGTCCTCTGCTATGGCTGGAGGATTCCATCACTGAATGGAGAACGAGAGTGGAAAGCCAGAATGTCCTGGTGACCACACAGTGCCTTGGAGCTTTGGCACCACAACAGTTTTCATGACAGCATCTCAGAGAATAGGAGAGTCTTAAAGCCACTGGATCCTCAGACAGCCAGCCAAACATTTGTATGGGGCTGAAATGTTTTTTGGTTATATTTTGTACGATGTTGTACAGATATAGGAACAGCAGATCATTAAATGAAACAATTGTTCAGTAAAATTAAAGTGTTTAAGTGTAAAATGTGTTTATTTTTGGGAAGGAGGCCCAGCTACTTCTGAATGCTAATCCAGCTCCATTAGAACAGCATTTTCACATTCAGTGACCATATATTTCTTGCAAAGCTGAGTGATAAACACCAGCAAGGTCTCACTAGCTGTGGATTTACTTACACTGATGAGATACTGTAGGACTGTAGTGAATGTGTGGCATTACATTTGCTATTCTTGGCTGGCACCTGCAGCAATCACGCAGTTGCTGGCATAGCAGGGAGGAATCGTGTTGCTCAGGCAGTGCTGCTAAAACTCTCTTGCATTCCTTGTGCTGCTCATTTGCTGTTGGCTTCATACGAGGATCTCATGCTGTGGTCCCTGTGGGCTGGCAAACTCTCCTGGCACCTTGATGGGGCTGAACACGTGCTGCTGTTTGGTGACATCTAGAGAAATGACTACAACCTGTTCTGCAGCCCTTCTGCTATCACTCTTTGCAATAGGTCTGTGACTTTGGGAGATGATAGCTGCGGAGCTGAGCGAAATCTGACCGCTCTTCCTGCTGGGAAGAGCTTGTTACAATCAGTTGCCCAGGTACCTCAGAGCTTCGTGTTGCCTAGGGCAGAGTGGGGCTGCTGGGGTGGCACCGCTTTATGTGACAGAAGATCCTGTTAGGGCAGAAAGCAAATCCTGGAGTAGGACTGGAGCCACAGCTGCCATCTTTTGTAGCTCATGCCCTGGGGGTGGGCAGGGAGCAGCAGCTGTTGGAGTGGCCTCTGTCTGTGCTCCTCTGCACAGCTGGTCCCATCCCTCCATCTCCAGGGAGAGGTGCTGTAGGACTGCAGAGCCCTCCAGGGCTGCCATGCAGAGAGGGTTTGCTAACCCTGAGGGTGTTTGCAATTCCATCTTCAGAAGCACGGGACACTTCAGAGCCCTGCTATCCACCATAAGGATAAGAGCTGCCCTTGACATGTCTTAGCAGTTGTTGAGAGACTGAACACCTCCTTCCTGGATGATGAAGGTGGCACCAAGTTGGAACTTATTTGCCTGAGGGTAGGAAGGCCCTACAGGGGGATCTGGATGTGCTGAGGCCAATGGGATGAACTTCAACAAAACCCAGTGCTGGGTCTTTGCCTTGGTCACAACAACCCCATGCATTGCTGTGGGCTTGGCAGCCCAAGGGGTCACAGTTAGCAGAGCCAAAAGGCCAGCTCTGAAGTGAAGAACCAAAGTGACCAGAAGGTCAGCAGCCTGCTATGTGCTCCCCTGGCTGCCTTCCCTGAGCCTCACTGGTGCTGCTGGCTCCTCCTCACCCTCAGCAGGCACAGCCTTCTCCTGCAGATGCACATTTACATGACAGACCCAGAGGCACTGACCTGGGAAGTTCTGTTACCCTGCAAATGACATTTCCTCCTATTTGCTTGCTCCCATGCAAGCAAAGCTGCTCTGACGTAGCTCAAACCTTAGGTCTGAGCAACGCCAGCCCCTCCAGGTGGCCCACATGGTGGGTTTCAGGAGCTGCTGGCTTTGCAGATCTTCCTTTTCAGTGCTGGCAGTTCGGCATTTCTCCCCACCTTGTCTGTGCACAGTGCCTGCAGTCCCTTGGCCAGGACAGGCATTGCCCACTGCTGCTTTTCTCAGCCATTCACAACCCCACAAGAAAAAAAAAAAAAAAAAACAGCTTTCCCTGCCCTCTTTCCTTTCATCTTCCTCATCTTCCAAACCACAGCTTCCTCTGGCAGCAGCAGCCAGCAGGACCCTCCATCCCTGATACAGCCCAGCAGTGGGCTGTGCTTTTCTGCTTCCTCCAGCTGCTGCCTGCCATGCTGTGCCTACAGCCAGCCCTCAGCCCTGCTGTGGCACAGCCTGGCCTTGTTCTCACCCATCGCATGGTGAGCAGATGAAAGCCAAGCGGGAAGCATAATTTATAGGTAGCTTGAAACAGTTTTGGCAGGGCAAAACACGCCAAAAGATGAAGCAATTCCTGGGGAGCCGCGCTCATACTGGTTATCAAATGATGCTTGAAAGGCTCAGTAATGCAAGAGGAGAGTTGAGTTGCTCAATTCCAGCAGAGGATAAACTCTCTATGACGGACACGTGTTTGGGAGCAGGAGCTGATAGCTTGCTTTTGAAAACTCGTCTGGCAAGGCAAATCACAGCTTAATGTCTGGGTCCTGAGGTTGGCGGAGCTGCAGCAGAGCACCTGTGCACATGCACATGCCTCAGCAGGGCTGCACCACCTCCTCCCGCCCTGCTGGGAGGCTGCCCTCACTGCCTTAAAGACAACCAAACATGAGAAGCTTTGCACCGGTGACCCCGAGATCCCATGGGGTGCCTGCAGCTGCTGCAGCATCCTCAAGGCTGAGCAATCCATGGGTGTGCAGCACGGACCGCGTCCCTCGGAGCTTGCTTTGCCTTTTCTGTGCTGGTGTTGGACTGTGGATGCCTGGAGCATCCCTGCCTGTGCTCATCTCTGCCATGAAGCACCGCAGTCCTGGCCCTGTGTTGTTGTAGGGCTGTCGGGCAGGAGAGCTTCAGTGAGCTTCAGCTGCCCATGGGGGGAAACTCACCAGGAGGTGAGGCGTCCAGTAGAGCTGTCCAGATAAAATGCATTAAAGCCCATAAAGGTTCTGATTTTTGTTTCATTTTATCCTGACTGACATCAGAGGTTACGAATTCTTCAGGGCAGCTGCTAGTTAATAACACTTGGAACATCCTTTCTGCTTTTCTACATCAAACATTTGTATAGAACATCAGACTGTTTTTGTTACAAGAGGAAGATGAGGCACTTTGATCTACAGAAGGAAGGTAAGGTGTTTTTTTGTTTTTTTTTCCAGCCATTCCTAAGCAGCAGAGCAGTCCTTAATGATTTAATTTTAATAAAATTAGCTGTGTATTTCAACCTCAGCAGTTACCAGGCCTTTAAAGAAAAGAGAAACTGCTTTTTGGTGTTACAGAAGTGGTGAACCCACCTCGCAGCCTTGGCATGCTCACACTGCAGATCTCTGTCCTTCAGTTTTGCAGGAAGGGTGAACAAATGTTATAAAGCCCAGCAGCAGCCACAACCAGCTGCCGTCCTGTCTGTTCTCCAGATGATATGGCTGATTTTGTAGCTCAAACCACTGTGTGTGACCATCTCAGGCCATTCTATGCCCCCATGACTTCTCCAAGGCCCTCTCATTTCCATTGGTAAGAACAGGTGACGCCGTACAGAAGCTGAAGCAGAAGCAGCTCTGACTGAAAAAGCCTTTATGATGAGAAAGGTGCAGCCCTGAGATCAGAACATCCCCATCCTCCAAGAGATCCAAACCTCAGCAGGGCACGGGCTGGAGCAGCCTGGCTGCCATTGGGGTGAGGCTTACTTTGAACACAGGGATGGACCCAGGACCTCTAGAAGTCCCTTCCAACCCAAAACCTTCCATGGTTTTCCCCCATGGACAGCAGTGACACACAGCTGTGAGGCAGCCCACGCATCCAACCAAGCCTTGACAAAGGAGGTTGCCCTGGGCAGTGACATACAGGTTTGGGCAACACAGGAGATGGATGGAGCAGTCACAAAGCCCACAGCTTTCTCCACACCTATTGTGCACGGGATGCTCCTGCACAGACATCTTGGTTCACTGTTTGCACACTGTCACAGGGAGGAGTGCGTGCTGTGCCACGTATCTCAGAATATCACATCTCCGCCTCCTTCTCCCATCTTTTGTACTGATAGCCACGAGCTGCCCACATGCCCAGCTACACATTGCCTTCAAAAGTCTGCTGTCCCTGTTCAGTCTGCAGGGGGACGTGGAAAAACCCAGCTGCCCAAAGCTCAGCTCACTGAGGGCTCTTTGTGCAAAGCAGACCAGTGAAGCACAACCCACGTGTGACACACGGATCAGCCTCAAATCTTGTCTCAAGATGAGCTCGCTACTGATCAGTAGCATTGCAAGTTTCACTATTAAGAAAAGCAGTCTCTTTAAATAATAACGTGAGCAGCACAGCTCACACAGATCTTCTGCTTGCTGCTCATTCACAGCAGTTTTCATTTAACGGATTTCAGGATTTATTTAGACATAGGGTTGAGCTTCTGGGTCATCTGTCTCATCCTTCAGGGTTATTGCCACGCAGATCCCATCCCACCCCACTCTGTGGATGTAAATAACATCCCGTGGTGTCGGAGCTCTCTCTGCATCCCTTCCCCACGCCGTGTCCCCGTGCCCCATCCCAGCATCGGTGCCCCCTGTGCCATGGACACGTGGCCATGCACAACCCCTGGGCAGTGCTCACCGCCCTCCTCCGCTCCCCGTCGCACCCCAGGCCCACCCCCCACTTCAAAGAGCTGGGTGACGCTGGGACCTGTTGCTAAATCATTACATAAGCTGTCCTGCCAGGTTTCCTCCCCCACCAGAAACGCAAAGGATTTCACAACCGCGTGGAATCGAGCGCATCCTCGCGCCATCGACGCGCTCGCATCCCTGCCTAAATTTGGCCCTGTCATCTCTGTTCCTTCCCTGGTGGGAACAAACTCTCCCTTCCCTGCAGCGTTTCTGAGCTGGGGCAGGTCGCTGTGAGCGCGGGGAGGTGAGGAGGAGTGCGGGGATCTGCCTGGGTGAGATGGCTGTCGGCCTCCCTGCCAGGCTCTCCAGCTGCAGAGGAACCCCCAGCTGTTGGCTGCGCTGCATTTCTGAGCACCTCTCCTGTGAAGAAAGGCTGGGAGCCGGGCTTGTTCAGCTTGGAGAAGGGAAGGCTCTGGGGAGACCTCACTGTGGCTTTCCAGGACCTGAAGGGAGCTTATAAGCAGGGGCAGAGTGATAGTTTGATAGTGGTAGGAAATGGGGAGATGGTTTTAAACTGAAAGAGGGTAGATTTAGATTTGATGCTAGAAGGAAATTCTTTGTGGCACAAGCTTCCCAGAGAAGCTGTGGGTGCCAGGCTGTGCAGAGCCCTGGGCAGTCCGAGCTGGTGGGGGCATGGAGCCCATGGCAGGGATTGGCACTGAGGGACCTTAAGGTCCCTTTCAACCCAACCATTCGATGCTTCCATGAATACTGGCAGTGTCACCTCCAGACAAGGTGCCCCAGCCCTCCCTCCAGCCACTCCTGGGGGCAGCAGATGCATCTGGCAGGACCTGAGCTGACTGCTTTTATAGGGCACCATCCAGGCTACACTCACACACCGCACAGAGCCTCTGGAACACTCCTATGTTGTCTCAGGGGTTGGCTTCATGGCAGTCTGGGCTCTTCCCATTTCCATACCCCAGACACACCCAAACACTGTCCCATGCTTTTTGTTTGAGCTGCAGGTGACCAGAACAATGATGAGCTTTGCTAGAAGGACCCCAGATGTTATGCTACAGTGTGAAGCATTTCCCTCCCAGTGCCTCTCCTTCACCCTGAGCTGCGCATTGCAGGGCAGAGGGAATGGGAGAGAGGCAGCAGGAGATGGGCAGCACCTCAACCAGTTTGGTGGAGGCTCCTCGGATGAGGTGGGGACACAGGGAGATGAAAGCTGGGTGGACGCAGCAACCTGACAGCCTGATCCTCGAGGGGAGCTCAAAGCTTCTTCCGTCTCCATCATCATCACCACCATCATCATCATCACCATCATCATCCCCTCCCAGACGCCTCCTTGGTGCCTGCCCTGCCCCAACAGCTCGATGCTCGCTGACCAAGGCATGGTCAGAATTGTGAGATGGTTGCTCATCAGAGGTGAGAGCTGGGATGGGATGGTTTGGCCAGGTTAGGGAGGGGCAGAAGGAACAAGGAATATCCTCAGCCTCAATAGTGATGACTGAGAGCATCTGCAGTTTCTGCACAAAGCATCAGGAGTGGCCTCCAGCTCACAGACATCCTGCTCTGTGTGTCCCCTTGCATGAATTGTGCATGCCACATGCCAAGAACAGGGGCAGCAAAAGCAGCAACCCAGGAACCTGGGCCCATGGAGATACAGCTGGCAGTGGGGGCTGGGAGTGGCACCAGGATGCAGGAGGGAAGGATGGGAGAGGTCTGAGAGAGCCGTGTTGGTTGGAAAGTGGAGCTGAGAGGGACCCCCCAGCTCTGTGCAGCCCCCTCATATAGGATGATACAGACAGAGGGAACTGAATCTGCCGAGGTTAATTCCTGTTTGGGCAAAACAATTCACCACAAAAGCAGAGAAGCTGAGAAGCAGTGGGAGCTCCACCAGAGCTCAGCTGGGTAAAGTTTGGAGCAGTACAGCTGAGCTGGTGCTGCTGTGGGCTGAGGGTCGGCTCCTCCGTGTTAATTACTCCATCTATCTGTTACAACACACCTGAACCAAGCATTGATTTTGTTCCCAGCTGCTTTATCTTTATTGCACAAAGCTTTCAGCACTGCTCTCCGTGAGCTGCCCTGCCTTTTTATGGAGGGCTTTTCCTCCCCTTTATCCCATAAGCTCCCATCCATGCTGAGAGGTTTACCAGCTTTGCTAAGGGCGCTGTCGCCATCTCATCCACCACCCAGAAAACAGCGCAATGCCACGTGTGCAAGGAGCACCTTCTGGTGCCCCAGGAGGGGAGAACCTTCCACAAGGGGCCGAGAGAAACTGAGGCTTTGAGCGTGAGGAGGGCAGGAGGAACCTCGCCAGGCTCGGGGAAGTCTCAGCTGAGTCACGGCTCAGAAAATGGCGTTTTGTTGGGAAATGCACCGCATCCCCGGCTCTGCTCCGTCCGTCCCTCTGCTGAGCGCCGCCGGGCAGCAGCAAAGCGTGGAGCTGCGATGGCACAGCAGGGCTGCCCATCAGCCACGGCGGGGATGGCTGCGTTCCCCCGGCGGATTTAGCAGCCATCTATAGGAACCTTCAGCTCAGGAGCGCCCGACAAGTTTGAACAGAAAGCCCCGCACCGCTCTGGGAGCAGCATTGGGCCAGCGAGCCCTTTGATTGCGATCAGCCAGCTGGCAGGAATCCCAGGCACTCGCACAAAAATGCTTTGAAGCGGCCAGATGCACAAAGGTGTGTCCCTGTGAGCGTGTGGGGCGCGGAGCGGTGATTCACGGCATCGCCATGCGGTGCTCGGGCTGCGCACACGCAGCGCTGAAGGGCCGCGTCCCCCCCTCGCTCCCCATCTGCCCGTTTTGGGGTTGAACTCTCCAACGTTCTGCCCGTCGCTCCCCGTATCCGGCTCGGGTTTTGTTCCTTCTCAGCCTCCCCGAACCGCCGCAGTGCCTGCGAGCTCCAGACAGGGAGGCAGACAGGGAATGCGCTCCAGGCGCTTGCAGATGTAAGCTCTGCTGCACTGGGCTTGCTGGGATGACACTCACCGTGCCCTGCTAAGTAAGCATCCCCGGCCCGTGATTCAGGGCAGAAGCAGCACAGAGGCGCAGCGAACTCCTTTATTTAAGTACCTTTTGCTCTTTCAGAGTCGGGTTTGGGATCTCTTGCAGAATCCTGGGAGATTCCCTCCCTTGGGCTAAACAATGCAAACTCACCCTGAAGAAACCATTGTTTCTTGAAAGCCTCTGTAAGCTCCCCATGCCTGCCCCGGCCCTGCAGCCCAGCTCAGCAGTTCGGGCGGGTTATGAAACAGGGCAGATGCCGGAGCAGCATTTCTATTATCCGCCAGCAAATGATGGGATGCGGTAACCGCTCTGCTCTCCCGTGCAGGGATGGGGTGAGGGCTGCTCCTCGCCGAGGGGGAAATGACATTACAGGTTTGCAAGAGCTGGACACTTTGTTGTGCAGAAGCCACCTGACGCTGACAGCCTATCATTGATTTGCGAAAGCATCGCTTGGCATCGATAAGAAGCTTCCAGGAGAAAGAAGTAGGGCGCAGGAAAGCAACAACATTCAGCTTTTGCTTTGCTGTTCCTTATCCAGAGTGGGAGCACGGTGGACACAGCAGAAAGTCTTTCTTGTGTTGCTTGGGTATTGTGGTCTTGGGCATGGTCTAAGACCGTGGCTGTGTGACAGAGCTCGTCCCTTGGGTGAGGTGTTGGGACCCTGGGGAAGGAGAACCAGCAATGATTCAACTCCAGGTGCTCTTGCTCTGAGTCTTAATGAGGGGTCCAGCATCTGTGAGCTGACAGCACCGGGCCTGTGGGTGCTGCTCCCTCAAGTGATGACTGTTGGGGTTTCTTCTAGTAGGAACTCTCTCCATGGCAGTGCACAAAAATCTGCTCCTCCTGTCCTGTGCCAAGGGGTCCCAAGAAGCTTCAGCCCCACAGGTCCTCTCCTTGGCCTCCCTCCACTGCCCATGGCTGGGCAGGAGCACTGTCAGCACTGCTGTGACCTGAAATCCCACCAACTTTAAGGGCTTTGATTCTCTGCATAGGACTCCACAGCAATGAGAAACCTTTCAGAGCCAAAACTCAATGCGTGACTCCTCATCTTGCTGGGTCCTTTTGTGTTCTTCTTGCAAAAAATCCTCCCTTCCTCCACACTACCCCAAGCCACTTGCATAGATGGCCCCAGTGCTTTGCCTGTGGGCTGTCCTGACTCATCCATGGGGGCAAGCCAGGCTGTAAGGCGGTCACTGCCAATGGTGTGATCCCTGTTGGGAAGGGGTCTCATCCCCAGAACATCAGCTGCCTGCGGGGGTCCACAAAACCCCCATTAGGTGCAGTGCAGATCCTGGGCTCTGGAGACTGGATTTGCAGCTGTGCAGCTAGAGGATGATGAGGTGGACAGACAGACAAAGTTGGGAGCATCACCCAGATCCCCCATTGGAACAGGACGTGGTGTGCAGCACTGCTCCCCTGACCCACAGCGCTGCCTCCCAGCACAGCCATCCCCACGCCCTCAGCACTGGGGCACCATTTCAACCCAACTTACACCAAGGGGATTAAACGCCATGAGCAAGCCATGTGGGAGACCCTCCATCCCACCACCCCACACCCACCCAGCAGCACCCGCCCCTCTCTCACCCTCACCCCCTTTTTCCTCCAGGATCCCCCATCCTGGGGGGCAGAGCTGGGGGTGAGGGCAGCAGAGCTGTGCGCCCTGCGGGGCCGCGAGCGGCGGCGGCGGCGGGGAGCGCGTGGGTGTGTGCAGGCAGGGCTGTATATCCAGTCTGGCAGAGGGTGTGCCTGCTCACACGGCGGGGAGCAGAGCTGGGAGAAGGAGCCCTGAGACACGCTGGGCTTGGGGACGTATGGCAAGGAGGGGTTCGGGAGATTAACCCCAAAAAGAGACGCGGTCGCTGTGGCATTGCGTGGTGCGCGTGGTCAGGTGCAGAGCAGCTCCCCGTCCCCTGTGGTTTGCAGCCATGCTTCACTCTCCGCTGAAAACGGCGTTGGCATACGAGTGCTTCCAAGACCAGGCCAGCTCCACGCTGGCCCTGCCCTCGGATCACAAGCTGAAAACGAAGGGCACGGGAAAACAGCGGGTCCAGGAGCAAGTGATGATGACGGTGAAGCGGCAGAAGCAGAAGTCGTCGGTGTCATCGAGCGTGGGGCACTCCAACAGAGGTACCATCCCCTCTGGGGTCAGGGCAGCTGCTGTGGCAGCTTCTGCTGTGAGCTTCTGTGGGGTTTGGTTTATAGGGGACGGAGCGGTTCGTGTCTCTTGTGGGGTACCCCACAGCTGGGAGATGTTGGGGTCTCTTGCATGGGATGGAAGATCTGTGGTGTGCGGATGGATGCAGTGCTAGAGCACAGTGGGGCTCCATGTCCCCATGGCTCTGGGACATGTTGGTACACTGCTCCTATCCCTGTTCTCCCCGGCTTCAAAGCTGGAGCAGCCGCCTACAGTTCTTACAGCTCCTCTGCAAGCATCCTGTCCTGCAGCTTCACCCCTCCTGTGTGCAGACAGAGCTCCCAGCATCGCAGCAATGCCTGCACACAGGACACAGACCTGAGCTTGGATGTGCCTCCAGAGCTCCCGGTGTGTCCCTGTTTGAAGGCTGGCAGCGGTGCGGTGGGGATGCTCTGCAGCCCCCTCTGTTCTGAGGTGGGCAGGGCAGGGTGCAGACACCATGCAACTGCTCCACCTCTGTGCACAGGGCTTATGCAAGCGCTCAGCTGTGTCCTGGAACCAGGTTTCCTACAGGAACACCTTTCTCTGTGTCTCAAAGCTTGGCAAAGGATTTTCTTCACTATTCTCACATCAGGAGAAAGCTAATTTGGAGGGCAGCTCAACTTCCACCAGTCAAGAGCTGCACCTCAGGTGGGCACAGCAGCCACAATACAAATCCCCCCTGACTCAGAGCTGCTTTCACCAGCAGCTGCGGTGAGCTCACTGCTCCAGCTGGGGCAATGGGAAGAGCAAAGCCTTGGGTACAGGGGCAGCTGGAGCTGAGTCCTTCAGCTCACCCCGGACATGGGGATGTGTTTGCAGAAAATCCAGGTGAGCTGGGGATGACAAGTTGGCAGCAGGAGGATCAGGAGGCAGAACCCAGCGCTGGGGAGGTGCCACACTGAGGGCATATTTGTGGCTGGTTTGCCAAGAGAATGGTTTGCCAAGGCAGTGTTCCCAGTGGATGCATGCATTGTGATTGCAGTGATAGAGGGGATGGGGAAGCTCTGCAGGACATCTGCTGCTGCTGCTGCCCATGGGAGGAAGGCCAGGAGGCAGAGGGGGATTTTTCTGCCCAGAGAGGAGCCCAGGTGAAAACACTGGGAAAGAAATAAGAGCAAAGCAATTTCCCAAGCTGCCCATCTTTACTCAACAAGCTTAACCTAAATCTGTCCCCCGGACACTTTTGGGAACGTCTGGGAATAGGAATTGCGTGGAAATGTTCCACTCTGGTGTCTGCGTCCCAGGGAAGCTGAGTCACATCCCACTCCCAGCAGCTGCTCCATTCCCACAGCAGGTTCAGGTGCCCTCCTGGTGCCTCACAGGTGGCTCAACCTGGAAGCTGCAGTGCCAGAGGGGCTCCCAGAAGGACAAGGAGTTCCCATGTATTTCTATTCTTTCTTTTGGAGCCTGAGAGGGTCGGGCTGAGCTTTCAGAGCACAGCATTGAACCACGTTGGCTTTTGCTGCTGCTGGTTCCGAGGCCAGCTGAGCAGACATAAGGAGAAGAGTTAATGTTTCTTACAAAGAGCTACAAGGGATTTGTTAGCAGTTCTGCCCATCTGTGTCCAAATGCTCCTCCAGCATCAGCTACATGCATCCACACGCGATTTCTCAGGGATGCTTCCTGCATAAGATGGGGGATTGGCAAAACGTCCTGATAAACCTTTGAGTGCTGTTCCTTCTGCATGCAGTTCCCCGCGTGTCTCTGGTTGGGTATCAACCCAGGTCACTGTGTTTTGAGACGTGGTTTGAGCAGGAGAGCAGAGCAGAGCTGAGCCTTCTGCTGCTTCAGGAATGCATGCACCCCTGCCTGTAGGGTGGGGAGCGCAGGCGTGCATCCCACTGCATGCAGCAGGGATGGGAGGTGTTGCATACCATAGTTGGTGTTTCTGTGGAGCAGATGTTCTCTTACCATCCTGCTATCAGTGTCTACCTAAAATCCACTGGCTGACTGCAGAACAAGGAGTTGTGGCCGTTGTTTGAAGGTCCTGATGTCACCCCTGCATGCACAACCATGGGGCATGGGCACAACCACAGCAGGGCAATGTGACCCAAACTGGTGTGTGCTGGGCTTCTGCTCCGTGTCTGGGAATGATGCAGATTTCCAGGGGAAAATGAATGCGGTGTCACAGCAGGGGAAAAGGGCAAACCAAGCTGAACTGAGTCCTCCTGGCCATCTCAACCTAATTGGGGTCATTATGTTGATGTGCACAAACAGGGGTTCATGAACATGAAGTGTTGGGAAGTTCTCTGTCACCTTCCCCCACTGTGAGATGATTCAGTGAAAGCTCTTCCACGAGCCTTTCCGATTATTGAGCAAAGCAAAAAATCCAACCCTTCAGCTCATAGGCCAGAAGGCAAAAGCACCATCTGGTCACTCCTGCATGAATCTCAGCTTCTGGGGTTCCTCCAACACTTCTGTCCTAGGAGGCATCATGCTTTGTGCTTCCCACAGGCCTTCTTCTCTTACTACTTTTTTCCTATGTTTAATCATCCTCATTGTTTTAAAGCTGTGCATGGTTTATTATTGAACCTGTCTAGCCTGCACTACCAGTGACGGGTTCTTGTCTTGCCTTTCCCTGCCACTGATTAATGTTTATTAATATGCCTCCACTGCCACAAAGCTCCCTGTTAGCTTCATGCGTCCGGCTGAAGTCTTCTGCTGTGCTCAACAAATGGCTCTTCTGACATAACTCTTCTCCTCACCATCAGTCTTTTAGCTTTAAAAGGGTATAAAGTTGCCTTTGAAGAATGCAAATGACTCATCAAGAGGGTCCCAAAGCTCAGGCACAGTGCCTTGTAGCAAGATCTTACTTTGCTCTGTGATGATCACTAATAGATGACAGAGAGGGGGGCACAGCATTTAAGTGAAAGCTCTTCAAAGCACAGAACCATGGAATGGTTGGGTTGGAAGGGTCCTTACAGCCACCCCAGCCCCACTCCTGCCATGGGTTGACTGCTCACCAGCTGCCCCTGGCCCCATCCACGTCCTTGGGCACCTCCAGGGTTGGGGCACCCACAGCTCTCTGGGCAGCCTCTTGCATTCCCTAGCTGCTGCGGTTAGTTTTAATGCCCATGAGCTCTCCCCCTGATTTAATGGAGGTTTTAGATTGACCAGTTTTCTCTGGAGACTGTTTGTTTTTATCCCAAAGTCGCAGGACAGGTGATCACCTCATTCTCCTTGGGGCACTTAAGCTGAGGAATATCCCTTCTCTCCCCTCGGGCTGCTTGCACACATCCCAGCTGCCCCTCAGGAAGAATCGGGCAGAGAGCTGTGTAAACTTGCAGGACAAAGCAAAGCCACCTCCACCATAAAATCATTGGGTTCTACCCAGCCTTCAGACCAAGCAACAAATCACAGTGCTGCGGTGGCAGGGAAGTGCCTTCTCAAACCAGCAAGGCAGCTTTGAACGTTTGAGGTTTTTATAATTATATATTTACAAGCTCTTGTATACAAGTTCTTGGAGGTGAAGGCAACTCTTCAGCAACTTTGGGCTTCTCACTACCAGTAGGACGTTGAGGGCCTGGAGAGCATCCAGAGAAGGGCAGTGATGGGTCTGCAGCACAGTGGGGTCTTACAGGGACAGGGAACTGGGATGGTTCATTCTGGAGGAGGCTCAGGGCAGACCTCATCACTCCCTGCAGCTCCTGAGAGGAGGTTGGAGCGGAGAAGTTGGCCTTTGCTCCAGGTGACAGCGATAGGATGAGAGGTGATGGCCTCAAGTTGTGCCAGGGGAGGGTCAGGTTGTGGAATGGGAGACATTTCTTCTCTAAAACAGTGGTAATGCAGTGACATAGGATGCCCAGGTTGGTGGTGGGGTCACCATTCCTGGAGGGGGTCAGGAATGTAGATGTACACTGCCATGTAGATGTGGGGTAAGGGACATGGCTTAGTGGGCACGGCTGTGATGGGTTGATGAACTTAGACCTCCTTTCCAGCCTTAATGATTCTATGATTCTCTATGATTCTCTCTTAAATGTCTTAAAACTACAAGTGCCAAAACTGGACTACTTGTGGTGTCTCCTTGCTCATCCCCCAAGTCTGCAGTGCTGTGAATAGCAGGAATGGATGCTGGGAAGAGCAGCGCCGTCCCGGGGAGGATTGGTCCGATTAACCATGAGTCACACCCAGAAACGCTTTCTTCCATTTAAGGAAGCTGTTGACTCACAAACAGTGTCCGGAAATTCCAGCCTGCAGATACATTATGTTTGCACAGACCGGGAGAAGGACTGTAAGAAGTAATTCCCGGGAAACTGTTATGGGATTGCACTCAGAATTCCCACTGTCATCCTGTCCCCCGCCGAGTCACCTGGCTCAGATTTCCCATTCCAAGCCCTGCCTGCCTTCTGCCAAAGCCCAACCCTGCACTCCTCCAGAGTCTGGTGGGATGTCATGGGGTGGTACCCAGTCAGTGCACTTACCTCCCTTTGCATACTGGTGGCCATCTCCTTCATCCTTACCGCGAAGTCCTGTGCAACTTAATGTATAGGAAGCAATCAGGGCTGGAGAGATAATAATGGGCAATGCTCTATGAATGCTCTAATGTCTAGAAATGTGGTTAACAATGAGATCCTGTCATTTTCTGCACAAAAATACGTCTGTGCAACTGCTCTGCTGTTGCCTACCCTGCATCCCTTGAGGTTCTTCAGATGCTGCCATCCATGTGGTGCTGCTCCCACTGTGTAGACGATAGAAAGAAAATCTCATTACTGCGTCCATGGGGACAATCTTCCTGAGAAAATGCAAGAATTTTTAGCCACGTACCAAATCAACATAACAGGTTCTGGATGCCTCAGGCACAGCAATAAACAAGATACACTCTACGGGTCGGTGGCTGTAGGAGACCTGAGTGGCTTCAGGGCCTTTGTGGTAGAGCTTATCCAGTTTATCCAAGAGATGAGTCTTATCAAACAATCAGAGAGATTAGGATATTTCTGACATTACCCACCAGTTTAGGTGCATAACTTGAGACAGGTAAGTCCTGATTCTGTAGCTTGTTAGATATTCAGAGCTTTCCCTGGAAGATAATTGGAGTGTACGGTTTGCACTTCCTCGTAACGGGACTTGGGATGCCACAATTATTGAGCAGTTTTGAAAATGAATTTCGAATGACTTTGAACTCTTTTGGACCACCTGAAGGTGTTCAGCTGTAGTGGCAATACTAAGTCACAGCTTGATGCAGTGGTGGAGCACCTGGTGGGAAGGCAGGGCCAACCAGGGGAGCTCAGGTGCGTGCAATGTACCTGAGTGACCAGAAGGGGTGGACCCTGGCTCCACCTCTTCCTAGACCTCATTTAAAGGTTGGCAGTGGTGTTTTGTTGGAGATCCCTGTATATTTGAGGCCTTCTGAAGGCAAGCAGCTGCTTTCCTTTGTTTCTGTGTTTGTGGCTGTTGCAGTTGAGCAGATTCTTACTTGCTGCAGTGTAGAACCTTGCTGCTCTGCTGTCATTGCTGCACTTTCCATTGCATTGCGTAAGGGAATTGCAGCTTAGGAAGAGGATGAATCTCTTCTAGTGCTGATCATAGCCTGTGTTTGTAATGATGCAGTCTAACACGCTTCTGTGAAGACACAGTACAAATGCTGTGATCTGTTAGAGAGTGGGGATGGAGACTAAAGGCAGTGATGGTTGCCCCGTCCCTGGGGATACCCAAGGTCAGGCTGATGGGGCTCTGAGCACTGATGGAGCTGTGGGTGTCCCTGTATGTTGCAGGGTGTAGGACCAGAGGGCCTTTCAGTGCCCCTTCCAACTCAAACCATTCTGTAATTCCAGAACAGCACCCCGTCCTCAGATACTGGCTGAGATCTTGACCCACTCTGCTCTTGTCCACGGTAGATCTTATGGCACTTGTTTTTTTCTGCTGAAGGCCTTCAGATGCCACTTGCAGTCTGGGGTTGGAGTTTCTAGGAGCTTTTCTGGAACAAACATCTTTGGGTTGCCTGCAAGGCAAGGGCTCAACTCACCGACTTTCTATCTTGTGCTGCTTATAAGCTTTCTAACTCCTTTATTCTTCGGTGATAAGTTGAAAGGATCTAAATTCACTGCAAGGAAAAGGCTGGGATGGTCTGCTGCTTCCCACTCCTACTGACAGTGCTTTTTCCATTTACAGGTTCCATGTACGACTGTGTAGCTGATGGTTATGGCTACGGGACGTCCCGGGGCAGTTATTACACCAAAACCCAAATGGGAAACAGCAGCTGGGGATATCCGGTAAGATGCTTTTATCTGGGAGCTGTGGCATCCTCTTGAGGTAACCTGCACAGAAAGCATCCTCCAGCAGGTGTTGGGTGGGAAGGCCGTGGCACTTCAGAAGTTTCTCTGAGACAGGTCATGCATGGCTATGGCTATTCCAGCACAGATTTCAATGCAGAGGGAGAGGATCCGTAGATTGAAGCAAATAGCAGCAAGGTCCTGATGTTGATGTTGTATGTGGCTGGGGATTTTACTGTGGATGAGTTTTAGTTTGGTCTCAGGGATTAATATCCCAACAGCACACAATGTTTGTAGCTGTCTGAAGGCCATAGGTTCAGACTCACATCTCAGTTAAGAGGTCTCACATTAAGATGTGCTCATCTTGGAGCGTATCCAAGGTGCAATTTCTATTTCTGTGCACAGAAACTTAATTGAACAAAATCAGCGCAGCTGACTGGGGGATATCAGGGAGTTTGCATCATAACTGTGCTGCTGTTCCTACAATATATCATAGAATCCTTAGGGTTGGGGGAGATCTGTGAGATCCCCAGATCTGACCCCACTGTGCCCACTGACCACATCCCTCAATGCCACATCTCCAGGGATGGTGATCCCACCACCTCCCTGGGCAGCCAGTGCCATGGTGCAGATGTCTTTAAGGTGTTCTTTGAAACTGGAAAGGAGGTGCTTTGCTCCTTCCAGAGAACATATTATATTACAGATTGTCAGAAAACGCAGGTGTAAGACTATACTTGTCTGTGCAGTCAGAGGTTACGTGTCCTGGGGAGGTCCTGATGCCACCCTTGGTGGCACTCAGTTCACTGGGAAGCTCTCTGAGCCACTCACGTCTCCTGGGGCTGCGTGTGCTGGTGTTGCCCCCCCACCTGGGCTCTGTATTCTGCTCATCCCTGGTTTTCATCAGCTGTAAAGTAAAGAGGTGCAATTCCCAGATCTGGCATTTGAATACAGGAAAAATAAAGGGCTCCTTTCAACAACTGTGGGGCTGCAAAGCAGCTCCCTGACAACCATCAAAGGTTTGAACCAGGAAAGGTGCTTATGTTGGCTTCAAGCACAGAGACAGAGGGCTGCAGTGTTTCCTGCTCATTGCCAGATCCTCTGCCTGTTTACAGCATCAGCATTCCTAAGCTTCACAAAGGTTTGTCTGTCATCTGTTTTAATGGCTGTGGTGCCCTTGTTTGCTTTAAGGCAGTGATAATGTCACTCACTGGGTTTGGTGCCAATGCGTGCTCAGTGGGAAGGACTGGGAGCACTGGCACGCCTTTGAAATTTTTATTTACACTGTCTGTCAGCCTCAACGTCAGCTGTTTCAAAGGCCTTTGCTGAGCTGTTTAAATCTCAGACAGTGATCTTTCACTGGTGTGAGGCCAAGTGTCCATGGTGGATAGAGCAGAGCATCCCTGGGGTAGGCATGGACCCACCTGTGGTCCATATCCCTTCCCAGTGAGTTTTCTGAACCCTCAGCAGTGTGCAGTTGAGAGACATACCAAGCCATAGGTGGAACCTCAGAGTCAATTATTTGTAATGTTTAAATGATTTATTGCTGTTTGTCTGTTGTGGCTCCTGCAAGAAGTACATCGACAGGGCTTTGGGTCCAGCACTGGTGCTGCTGTGCTGGCGGATGGCTCATGTGTTGTTACACAGATTGGAGCCTCCAATAGACACCACAGAGCAGTTTGGTCACCTCTGTTCATCACAGATTTATGCAGCTCACGGCTTCTCTCTGAAGGGCTCTTCTGCATGGATGGTCTGGGAGGGTCTCTCTTCAGAAACACGGGTCTCAGCAGCACTGTGTTCTTGAAGTTCTTGGTGAAGGTCTTCAGGATATGGACTGAAAAAAGGAACTGGAAAAAAAGGGACAGGGACTTGTGAAAGTTTCACAGTAAAATTATTCTTACAAAACTTGGTCTATCTGAAAATCAGCCATTTTGTCTTAACAAGTTGTCTAGACTCCTCCCAGAGCCAACAGAGAGAGGTACGGCGGTGATTCATCTGCTCTATCTTGGAGATCTGTCAGGTCAGGATGAGTCAGCCCTCTGGATGCATCTCCCTCCATGGTCGGAGCAGCCACCTAACAGGACTGCAGCTGGGGCCATGAATCCCGAGTGCCATTGGCACATGGGAACATATAACCTCCAGCCTAAATCTGCTTAACATGCTTAGCAGACACCGTGCTCCCCAGTCATAGTGGGGAACCTCTGTTTTGCTTCTTCCAGAGGTGTACTATATATCACACTCCCAGCCTCCAGCTTAGGTTGGCTTCATATGAACTTAGGACTTATTTGAAATCAGGCAGGTTCTCAGCATTTTTGTAAGCATTTTCTATCTGTAATTCCTGGCTCATCAGGGGAAAGAAGATAAAGTAAATCTATTTCTGAAGACACAGTTGCATTTCCTTCCTAGTCCTGGGAATGCTTCTGAGAAGCCCTAAAGGCCTTTGAGATGCATGGGCAAATTCAGGCATTGCAGGGAAGCAACCTCGTACAGCAGTCATGGAAATTACTGTTAATACTTCTGGAATTTGAGAAGTGCAACAGGCAGTGTGTCCGTGCTGCTGCTTCAAAGAGCTGCAGCTTAGACACCGCTTTTCTCAGCGCACTGCTTCAGATGGGGACTGTAAATGACACAGCAAGGAGATCTGTCATCTACCCCGTCTCACCCACAGCTCTTAAACACTATTATTCCCAACTTACTGCTTTTGTCTGTTTTTTTTTTTTTAATCTTGCTGGGAATCTCAAGCTTTTGCTTCTGAGTTTTCTTCCCTTATGAGCTGCTGGTGTTCCAGTACTAGAGCAAAAGAAATGACAGACCTGAAGGGAAGAGCTTCCTAAAGCTGATGGCAGCTCTCTGGATTGGTAAAAGCTATGGGTAAAACCTTCGATTTGCCTGCAGTTAGAGGTTGTTTTCTGATTATTCTTATGGTGCAGTGCCTTGTTGGTGGCAGAGCGCAGCACTGCGATGTAACAGTCTGGGTAACAGAGCTGGACCCAGCACATGCTGCACGATTTGTCTCACATGTCAGGGATTGCCTCAGCCTTCAGGGCTGAAGTCCTCAGCCCCATTTTGTAGGGTCATGGAGGTTGGGAAGGACCTCAGAGATCCCCAGGTCCACCCCACCCCACCATGCCCAGTGCCACATCTCCATGTTCCTTGAGCACTTCTGGGGACGGGGACTCCCCCACCTCCCTGGCAGCCTCATTTTGCCCAGTGGCCATGGTGGGTTGCAGCAGTGGGCGCACCAGTGGCTGCAGACCAATGTGTTGGGTGATATTTTGTGGTGACTGTGGGCCAGGTGCAGCTGAGCTCACCAGACCCTTGGAGACCTTCATCACCATGCTGATAACACAAGTTGTGTGTGGCCACCTGCTCCCAAAGCTACCAGGGCATGGTGGTGTAAGGCCAGAGCACTGCCTGAGGACCCCCAAAATGGGATCTGTTCAGCACTGGGCTCAAAGCTGCTGTCACAATCTGGTGGCCCATGAGTTGCAGCAAATGCGCTGTGTACCCAAGTGCAGGTGCAGCTTCGGAGGTGTTTAGCCAGAATCTGAGGAGGGGAACTCCGTGGAAAAGCAAAAGGTGGGGCCAGGATCGTGCCATTGTACTGCACATCACTGCTTAGTCAGACCCTGCTTTCCCTGAGAGGTTTTGCAAGAGGCTTTGTGCTTTGGAGGAGCTATCTGAACCATCGGGAGCGAAAGCTGAGCTGCATAAAGAACCAGATGAAAAGGCAGCATTCAGGAGAGGCGGGGAAGAGCGTTTCAGAAATGGATTAACAGTATATTTGCTGGTTTTGCAATTTTTCTCCCTGCAATGGAGCGCGTAGCAGGCAGCAGTGAAAGCATTTCGCAAGGAGCATCAGGATCTTTCCCCACCCATCATTCAGGGTGGGACGCGGTCATGTTGCATTGCCTGTGCTTTGCCCTGCAGCCTGGGAGAAGCCTGCTCCTGACGTGTTTATTCGGAGTCCTTTACTTCTCTCTGTCTGCAGCTCTAGAAACAAACAAATTGCAAGGGAAAGAATTAGAGCTGGGTAATGAACTGATCGCGTCCTCAGATGCAGGAGTCAGAAACACCCAGTTATCTGGGAGGGAAGGAGTGCTGAGATCCGAGCACAGTGCTGTGCTGGGCAAGCCCTCCTCTCTGCTCCTCAAACAGAGGGATTTTGGAGGAAAAAGAGCCCAACAGCCCAACAAAGCCATTCTGACTTCCTCTCCAGCACTTTTTTTTTTTTCTGGTTGGGATAAGAGGCTAAAGATATCTATTCACCTGCCTGGTAGGAGTGCTGGATGTTGCAGTTATTGTTCCTTAAGAGGCCAGGTAATTTAGTCCCAGCACTCCACGCACGTTTGCTAATTTCGAAGCAGGTCTTTGCTGCTGGCAGTGAGGGGAAGCACCTAGTGCCCAGGCCTGATAAGAGCACCTGTGTGCTATCAGTGCTCATCTTTGCTCCCTTTCCTCCCCTCCTAGTTTTAATATGAATGAGTAGCTCCCAAGGCTTGGCCTCAAACTCTCAGGCTCCTTTAGAAGAGCATGCTCACATCTGGGACGCTGCATGTGAGCATCCCATATTGCTGCAGAGAACCAGGGAGAAGACGTGGTGACAGTCCCTGCTCTTCTGAGGTGATTTCCAACTCCTGCAGGGTAGATGGGATCACTGTGTGCTGCCTCCAGCCCTGTATGGGGGAATTCCTGCCCTTCTGCACTGTTTCTTCCCACTGCTCCAGGTGTAAGATGTGGAGCTGACCCACGTGCCCACCACTAATGGGATGTGGGGAGTCAGGGGGTTTGAAGGTGAGAGTGATGATCTCCTTTCACTGATGCCATTCTGCATGGGGAGAGCTCTCTCTGCACACACAGCAGAAGTTTGGAGGTGGCTGCCAAGCAGCTCTTCCAACCACATCTGTGTGGTGGCATCACCTTCACCTTCAGAAGCGACATCTCCTCTCCAGACAGCAGTGCCTCCCGCTTTGCTCTGCTCCCTATCTCCCTGATTGCTATGTCCAACAAAGAGATAACGTGAGGAGCTCTGTTCCATCGCTCCCTTTGCTCTGAGGTGAAGGTCTCTGGCTTTCCTTGGGGACCATTTTCCATGGGGACATGGCTCTGCTCTTAAGGCACAGAGGTGGCATTCTGCCGAGATCAAGAAGCGATGGGGTTGGCTGTGGGTTTGTAGGGACTTTTTGGCAAGCAGCTCCAAAATCCGCTGGAGCTGGCAGGAGGCTCCTCATCGATCTGGAGGCTTTGGATCAGTCTCCTGCTGCAAAGAGGAACTCTAAGATACCAATTAGGTCCGTGCCACTTGAAAGAGATTAAAATGGGCTCAGCCAAGCATCTGGTAGCATCAGCAATAAAAGTCATGCACTGACTTTGGTAATGAGCTTCGCATCACACGGGAACTATTTTCCCATGAGTTTGCAAAAGGCCTCCCCGCCCTGCCAGGACCTGCACTGACTTGCTGCTCAGGGCTCCCTGTGTTGCAGAAAGAAGACTTTCCAAACAGGCGGCCGCTTTGCTGCGCCCTTCCCAGGGCTGGCAGGAAGGAGAACAATGTTCTGCTCTGCTCTGAAGCGCAGCAGGAAATACACAAGGGATGATTCCCACCTATAAACATGGACGTGCTCACACCTTCCCTCGCCCGCTCTGCTGGCGGAGATCCCATCCGAGCACACTGGGAAGCAAACAATAGCTTTAGATAAATGACGAGCTGGCACTTCCACGGTTAGCTGAATTGGCTTTGGTAAATGCCCGGGGGCAACGTGGCTGTGCCAAGCTTCTGACAGCCCTATAAAATAATCCTGGCTTATAGTGACTCATAAAGCAATGTGACAGGGCTCATGTCCAAAGGCTGCTGCTCCAGCCTGCCAGCAGCAAGCCCTGCCACTGGGTTCCCCAAGGCCACCCCACACTGTCCTGCACTGGCTGTGTCCCACCATCGTTGTTCTGAGGGTTCCACGGAATATCCCAAGTTGGATGGGACCCATAAGGATCACTGAGCGCAACTGCTGTGTTCCATCAGAGAGCAGCTGGAAAAATGGAATAGAATGAGGATGGTGTCACCCTTAGGAAGATATCCCCATCTGTGGTGGGTTAGATCCTTCCTGAAAGGTCAGTCATCGCCAGAGTGGACCTGGATGCTGAGCACCTCTGCTGCACGGCCACCCTGATCGTTTCCATGGGGCTGCCCCACTGCCAGGGGAGCCCCAAGATTCGCTGTGCTCAGCCATGTGCCTCATCCTCACTCTTCTTATTGCATGCAAATTCTTCTTCCAAACCCCTGGGATCACTGTAGGGTGCATCCAGCCTGCTATCTGCCATGTTGCAGCACTAACAGGTTTTTTCTGCATCCTCTGGAGTAAATGCAAAGAGAATTTTCTCCCCTTCTAGCAGTTTACCTGTTTAGATGTAAACCTGCAAAGTGAAATATCTCAAGTCCTTCTGCTTTGTGCTCAAGTGGCAGAGCAAAGTGGGTCCAGTGTAACTGGATGAAAGGGTTTCTCTTTCTGCCTCCTAACCCGTTCTGAATGCTTCCAGCCATTACCTGTGCAGCTCTTCAGGATGCAGCAGAGAGGATTCACTGCATTCCTGAAGATCAGTTTCTTAATGGAATTATTTGGCTTAATTAATTAGCATAATGACAATTCTGCTGAGTGTTGGAGAGAGAAATGATGCTGAGCGTGCTCAGGGCTGGGATGAATTGGGGCAGAGCAGAGGGATTTGGGGTGATGCTTTTCATGGTGCTTCTATGTTAGAAAATATTGGTTTGGTTTGTTTGTTTGTTTTTTTTCAGATAGGCACAGCTGTGGACCATTGCACCATGGGCTTTCCACACCAAGTGCCATTAACTTCCTTGAGTGAACCCAAGGGGGCTGAGGCAGCCTTTGGGATGAGAAGGTCTCTGGCACCAAATCCAGTGCACCAAATTTGGCACCAATAGAAGGAACCATCAGTTCCTTTTATTCCTGTTTACTCTATTTCTTGGAGTGCTGATCACCAGAATGCTGAGGGGAACACACCTTGTCACAAATAAGATTCTTGGCACGATGAGATTCATGAATTCCATCTTTCCATTTTCTCATTCCCATTACTCCCCTCCTAAGGAACTTGCAGGCAGAAGGGAACAAAATACCATAAGGAAATTAAAAATAAGTATGGGCAGTGCTGGAAGATTGAATGGTTCAACATTCTCTGTGATGAAAAGTGATGTGATCTCTCACAAGGAGGAAAGTCTTTGCCTTCTGTTTTTCCAAGCTGGGTTGGACCCTATGTGTTGGGATCAAGGCACTTGCTGTATGGCAGGGTTGCGCTGGACCTTTCACTTCTTGGTTACCAAATCCTGATCACTGCATCCCCAGATTTCAGGAGAGGGTTTGGAATCTTTGTAAGGGCTTCTGGTAGGCTGTGCTGCCGTATATTTTGATGCTTGTACTGTGCTTGGCCCACAAACACGCCATGACTTGTGATGAGATTGAGGTGTGCAGGATGCAGACCCCTCATGGGGTCTGTGCTTTAAGTTGGTCAGCTCAGGTGCTGTGTGGGTTTGCTTTGGGTTGAGTGGTTCTTTGCCAAGAGTTTGGGTCAGGTCTTCCTTCCTCATGCAGGATGCAAAGACTTTGAGGTCTCTTCCAGCCCAAACCATTCCATGACTTTATGGTTTGATGACTGGTTGGATTAGATGATCCTTATGGATCCCCTTCCAACTGGGGATATTCAGTGATTCTATGATTCATAGTTCTATGACTCTATGATTCTATGACTAGGAGATCAGGTCACAAAAACACCTAAGAGGTATGGGAATTTGGTAGCTGTAACACCCATGCATGATTGGGCTCGGCAACGCTGACCTCCAACTCAACCTCTCCTAATTTGTGCTGTCTCCCGTTTTCTTGTTGCCCAGCTGTACAACGGGACCCTGAAGCGGGATGCTGAGAACCGGCGCTACAGCTCCTACAGCCAGATGGAGGGCTGGGGCAGCAAGCACTACAGCAAGGCAGTCTGCAGCCCCAACAGGGCCGGCAGCGACTACTGCTTTGTGCAGAACATCAAGAGCAGCCGGAGCGAGCCCGACCTCTACTGCGAACCACCGCGGGGCACGCTGAGGAAGAGTCAGGTCGGGGGTCGGGCAGAGCACAAGGCAACCTTGAACCGCCAGAGCATCTACAGCAGCTGTAGCACCCAGCAAGGAACTACCAGGACAAGTAAAAAAATGCCTGCACGGGCTCTCTCCTGCCCCTCCAGCAACAAGCCCGACGTGGTCTATGCCCAGCCCGTGATGAGCTGCAAGCAGGATGCGGTTTATGGACAGGCTCAGTCTGGCTCCAAGTAAGTCTGCTGCAGTGGGATGGATCTGGGTAAATGCTGATCTGGGTAAATGCTTGGAGGTTTGTCCGTCTGAGTTTGTCACCTGAGCTGCTTAATAGCCACTGGAGATCTGTTGACAAGTGCGCGGTGTGCTTAATCGCATCCTGCAGTGGCATCTAAAGTGGGTCAGATGAGTCATGCTCAAAGGGCTTATTTCTCTCTATGGACTATGGAGAGAGACCAACGCGGCTGGCTCAGTGCAAATGTCTCTGCTGTAGCTGTGCGATATTGGGCAAGATGCTGCCTGGTGCCTCTGCAGTGGTTTTAGCTGTCAGCTCCTTTGCAAGATGAGGGTGGGGACGTGAAGAGCAAAAAGGGCTGGTGTGCAGTCTGGGTGTCTCTCCTGGCTGTCACCCTGCTCTGCTTTGGCAGAGAACCAACCTTAAAAAAAAACAGCTGAAGCTGAAGGAGTTTGTTCCTGAGGGTCTGACTCAGGGCAGAGCTGAGAACCTGGGAGCAGTCATGTTTCCCTTCTGCCTTCCCACCCAGCCCTTGCTTCTTTCCTCCAGTTCAGGTTCCAGAAAAAAAAAAAAAAAAAACAACCACTTGAGTCAGAAGTTAGAAGAAAAAAAAAAAAAAAAAGCCTAATTGGAATAACTGATACAGCTAAGACAGATTGGAAGCTATTCCTTTTCCTTTCTGTCCAGAGCATCTAGTGCCATTGAACTAGGAATTATGCAGTGGTGAGGATTGTCCTCCATGTCCCATTCAGCACCAGGTCCCTTACTGTAGTTGCTGCCTGCAGCAAGAGCACAGCACTGAGCTCGGACACCTCCAAGCATCTGCATTGCAGCAGAGCTGTCACAGAAACAAAAACTTTGTGGGCTTTGATGGCGTTGAAGTGATGCTTATTTAAGAGCTGCCCTGATGCTAGTGGCTGCGGTGCCTCCAGCTTTTGAGCACAAACCGTGCTCTGCTGCTCACAGGGTATCTTGTGATGTTTTATCAGGCTAGAGAAGGATGTCTGTATCTTCAGGGGCTGCTGCATCATTTTCCAGCAGTGCCTGCTCTACCCAAGACTTATCTCACCTCACATGCAGGAACCGAAACCTTTTGGGCTCATTTCTTGTGCTCCCTGCTGCCCTGGGGAGTTTGCTCACTGTCAGGCAGTGTGAGGCTGTTTAGCTGAGATCATTGCCTTTGGTGTAGCTCACACCACACAGGGATATTTGTTGAGCTTCTGACCCAAATGTGTTGTAGTTATGGAGGAAATCCCCTCCTGCAGTTGGCAGTGCCCACATCGTGCCCTCGTTCACATTGGAATGCTGGGCTAATTCTCTGCTCAACCTCCTTCATTTTGCATTGAGTAGGGGAATAAGCACTGGAGTGTGTTTGCCGAGAAGTGTCACTTGCCCATTAATTAACGTGTGGTCAGGAAACCTTGTCCTCCTGTGTGCCCAGCTCCCTTCAATCCAACACATGCAAAACCAGCGCTGGCCAATCCAGAGCACCAGTGGCATCGGTTTGCTGTATCCAGGAGCTTTGTAATTCTTCTGGAATGGGAAACAGAGACATTCCACAAATGACAAGTAACTTGTCCTAGGGAATTTCTGTCTAAAGAGCATGAAAATGTCGTGGGAGGGACAACAGAGAGACGAATTGCAGGACAGCAGTCGGCTCCTGCCCTGGGAAGGTGTCTGCTGGGTGCTCGTCCCATGCAGGTGGGCTTTTCTGGAGCATCCCAGCATCACACTGCACAGCCCTCGGGTTGCAGACTTGGTCGTTGCTTTGCAAAGGTCACTGGTGGAATAATGGTGCTTATGGAAGAGAGGGAGAGCTGCTGGTGTGGAGCAATGCTCTGCACTGCTGGATGCCCTCTGGCTGGGGAGTGGCTCCGTTTAGACAGTTCTCCTGGCTTGGGGCATCGCTCATCTGGCAGAACTGGTTCTGGTGTGGAAATGAGGGCTTCAGTCCTCGGCTCAATGGGGGCTGTGCCCCCTGAGCAAATCTGATTGGGCTGGGGCACACACCCTGCTTGTGTGAGACTGCATTGCTGGCTGCGCTACACGAGGAGAGGCTGTCAGCTGTCATCTTTGGAATTCTGGAAGCGTGTTCAGGAGTTGTCCTCTTTGAACAAATGATCTCTCTGGAAAGCCACTTGCCTGTATAGAGTATCTGGAAGGTTGCAGTTAGCCTTGGTGTGGAGCGTGCTGTTGTCCTTGGAGATGGGTTAGGGACGTATCTGGGCTCTGCTGTGCAGGACCTCAATGGCTGGAGGACTCTGCATTTGGAGAGCTCAGTCTGGATTTGGGTAGCCTGGTGTTTGTGTAGGGAGAAGTTTCCTTGTAGATACCCCATCGTTAACCTCTAGATGCAGGAGGAAGGCTTAGCTGGGCAACAGATGCCAGCAGGTCCCTATTTGAGGCTCTGGACTTCATATTCTAGTAGATCTTCAGGCAGAGGTTTTGCCTCTATAACAAGCATGGTTTCGTGTTCAGCTTTCACAACAGAAAGTTTCCACACCCGCCTGGCTCACCACGTAGTGATAACAAGAAGCAGTAATGAAAGATGTTTCATGTAGCTCAGAAAACTCTGAGCCTTTCTCCTTCTTCAGCTGGACCTGGATGCACAGGAAAACTATTCTGTTGTTTAAGCTCTGCTTGCAGACATGTTGCCATCAGTGTCTGGATATCACGTTTAGATGGGACCAGGCTCAGAGGGCTGGGTCTTTCAGGAGACCTGGAAATGTGTCATATTTTGGTGCTACACTGATAAGGGCGTTGGATACCTGCTGGTGGCTATGGCTGATGTGCACAGGGGATCCTGGAACCATGGATCCCCAGGCAGAAGTTCAGTCCCTCTGGAAATATTCCAAACAGTAAAAACACAGAATGGTTATTGAGAGTCAGAGAAGGTGGAAGAGGTGTTTTCTGATAGACCTCCTCTCTTCTGGGATAAGCCAAAGGAGATCAGTATCAAAACATAAACTCCCCAGGGCTATGCCACACAATGAAAGCAGATGCATATAAAAAGACAGACATCTTGGTTTGGTTTTGTTCTTGTATGGGCAAGCAATCTCTAAAAATGACCGTTTCAGTGTTGGCTCTGTGTGATGTGAACCTGTCTGCACGGTGCATTTGCATCCAAAGCAAACTGGGGTTGCTGCGGTGCTGCCTGGCTCTGGAGGGCTGAGATGTGCTGAGGTCACTCGAGGTTTTGAGTGGCTTCACTCTCATCTGGTTAATGAACAGTGGCATTTGTTAGACTTTTCTAGCTTCCTCCCCTCCTGGGACTTGTAGACTTAACAGACAGGTTGGAGGCTTAGATCCAATTAGCACAACCTAATCTGCTAATACATAGTGACCCAAAGGCATCAGTATCAAACTGATATTTGCCTTTCTGTGATAGTGATCCTCCAAAGCATTTGTTTCTCTTCCTCACCTGAATCTGATCATCTAGTTTGACTCCTTGAACCACTGCTAACTGAGGTCTCCCTGTTCTGATTGCTTCTTTCTTGTGGAAGAGCAGCCTTCAGAGCTCTTCCTAGCAGGAGCATTGGCCCAGGCTGGAGATGGCCGTACTTCAAGAATTTGTCTTGGAACAAACTGTAGCTCTGATGGTGTTGATCTGGTTAGGAATGTCCTTGACTGATGAACAATCTCCTATATTATGGGCCTTGCCAGGCGCTTATGTTCTCAGCTGGGAGAAATCACTGCTTCTTCTGAGGCAGGTGGGAGAGCCCAGCTGCTCTGTGAACTTCTCTTGCCAGTGAGCCAGCAGAGGAAATGGAGCTTTTTCCAACTTTTCCCATGCAGAACTGGATGTGGCTGCCCAGTTTTCCCTGTTGAAGAAGGGCTTGGATGTTTTATGGAGTGGATGTGTAGGAAATACCCTTCCTTGAATCACTAACAAAGCAGGCACCCTTCTTTCTCGTAGGAAGTACTCCTGGTTTAGGGTCCTGCTTAGCTTGGAAAACAGATTTATCAACACCACCACTGTGATTGCATGTGCTGCATGGCACCTGACCTGCTGTATCTGTTCATGTGCTCCCTCCCTGTCCTGCTGGCCCAGGTCAGATTCCCAAGGAAGTTCCTCTGGTGCCATTCATGCTGGACCTGGTATCATCCCAGCTCTGTTGTGTCTCACAGAATGTAGGATAGAGTTTCTAATTTGAATTTCTTTCCGATTCTGCATTTCCTTGTCTCGAGTGAAATGGAAATCTCTTGGAGCCAAGTTCTGGTAGAGGTTCAAATGAAGAAAAAGTGTATGATGAAGTGATGCTTTTCTCAGTGCAGAAATAGAATGTTGTTCATCCAAGTTTAGGTACTGTACTCTTAATGTCCAGTACATGATTGCCATCAGCAGAGGCAGAGATACCTCCACAGTCAGATCTTCCTGTCTTAGGTAAATGCTGAGCCCACAGAAGCAGATTGTTCTTTGGGTGCACCTATTTCTCCCCATTGACTTTACAGGGGCTTAAATGAGGACTTTCAACTGGGTGCAATTTCAGATGTAGTCTTTCATTATGCCTTTCTGTGCACAGCATAATTGTTGGCTTTTGATATTTTGTATGAAATTTGCTGTAGAATTGTGGAGATGGTTCGTTAGTGCTGAGGGGAGGTGAGAGTTTTTATATCTGAGGAGGAATTATTCTATCTAATTGTAAGCTCCTGGAGGTGGTGAACTTCTCTGGGTGTCCTTTAGAGAGCTCTGTTCTTACATTTCTTTGGAACAATCAAAATTACTCTGCATATCCTGTGCCTCGAAAAGGTCACATTGCTCTCTCCCAGTAATATTTAATACCTTAAATATAAGGTTCATTTAAAGATCTTATTAAAAATCCTCTTTTATTAGAGGCTGTGGGATTGTCTGCTGTTGACAACCCATCCCAGCCAAGTTCCCACACTCTTTGGTTTCATTCTAACAAAATATTTCCCATTTGTATCCTGTCATCAATGAGTAATAACCAATGGGGAGCTCTGGGTTTGACTCCTGTTGGTCTTGAGCATTGTGTGGCCATTCCACAGTCAGCAATGCTGCATTCCAGAGCCCCTTCATCAGCATGAAAGTTCGTACATGTTTCTGACTTTACAGAGTTAAAACATCAGAGACAAACGTCAGCACTGGTGAATAAATACAAGCCAAAGAGAGCAAGACTTGGATATTTCTTAACAAGGGGACAAATCTTCAGGGGTTTATACCCAAGGTTCAACTCCTGCTCCAACCCAGAGGTGCACAGCCCTCCTCCACTCTGTGTGCAGATTCTTTGCTTCTACCAGTGGCTGATGAACAGCTTTTCTGGAGCGCCAACATAAGCACACCCTCTCAGTGCTGTTAGCAGCACCTCATGAACTCGGTGGTTGTCCATCCCATCGCTCCAGACATGCCTGTCTCCTTTTCCTGAGGGATCTGCCCTCACCTTCCGAGACCATCAGCTGCTCTCACATTTTTGCTTCCACCACATCTCACATCAAAGGATTAAATGCTGTGGGAAAAGCCTTGCCTCCTTTAGATTGTCCTAATAACCTGATGGATGGTTTCATTCTTGTCCACTAATTCTTCTATGTGAACAGCAGCGAGCACTGGTTCTCTCTTCCCTAATCCTTCCACCTTAGACATAATTAGACACCAACCAAGATTCTGTCTCTTCTGCTTTGCTGATGGAGTGGATCCATAGTCCATTAGCCCTGGTGACCCTGCTGTATCTTTTCCTCTTTTATCATCTCTCTTCTGAGACTGAGCGATGCTGTAGGGATGCACAACGTTTTTGTATGCGCAGTGATGATTTTTGGCTTTATGTACTTCTTTCCTTCCCAATAACTCCCAGTACTAAAGTAGCCTATTTGGCTGAGAACTCAATCAATGCTGCTTTTCTCTTTGATGCAGAATATGTGGTGACGAGATAGATGGTGGCACAATGACCATCCAGAAAGCCATACAGTTCCTGTGCTCCTCTGATGACAAATACCAGGCCATGGGGGCTTATTACCTCCAGCACACCTGCTTCCAGGATGAGTCTGCCAAACAAGAGGTGAGCAAACTCCTTCAGAGCTTACTGGATGTGATGGCACATGGGACGGGCAAAATTGGTGTATCTCAATAGCAAGAATCTGTAGGCTCTCTTGATGGAGCCTCAAACAACATCAGTCCACACAGGAATTACTTAAGTGGGTTTTTCACCTCTTAGTGGTTTGGCCCTTTCTGCTATTAGAGGGCAGGTCAGTATCTTAGCACAGGGGAATAGGTACCAAGCAGTCATGTTATCACCCTGAACTGCTGTGGTGCAGATGGAAGGGATATACATGGGAGCAGCCACCCAAACACAGTGTTCTGGATGGCACCGCACCCGGTTCCATGTGAATGCTCTGCGATCTCAGTGTCAGAACCACACAGAATTGCACCAGATCCCACTGCGTTCTTCCCTATGCATTGCTCAGTGCCTTTTCAGCCACTCATCGAAGCCAATGGGTTTGTTAGCAGTACATACAAAGGCAGTTTATCCCCACCCTGACACGTCTGCAGCCGTGGCAATGTGGTTTTCTCAAAGCAGCACCCACATACAGGCAGATTTCAGTGCTCTGGAGCAGCAGCTGGCAATGTGCAGATGTGCCCCTGTGCCCTCAGTGCAGCTGAGCTGAGCGTGAGGACCCCATTCCACAGTGCAGTCACTAATTGCAGGGCAGCCACACCCTTGGTTACCGTTGAAAACACTGAACCTGTCCCATCACTTCCCAGAAAGATGTGTTGGAGCAGGTAGATGAGTCATCCCAGCGCACACTTGGGGTTTTTTGTTGTTTGTTTGTTGTTTTTTTATTTTTCTTTTTTTCTTTTTAAAACACACTCATTCATTTTCTATTGTCAGCAGATCTCCAGCCAATAGGTTTGTATGTCCAAGGAGGCTCCACGTGTCTTCTGTTCCCAGCAGACCTGGCATAGGGAGAATCCTTCAGCTGGAGCTCCTGTTGCTTTGGAGAGCTCAGCTGAAGGGATGTGCTCTGCCTTCGCACCTCCCCTGCACTTGTGTGGTGTCCTGGAGGTTGGGGTTCCCGGGGTCCCCCATCCGTGCCTGTCTCCCTTCATACTGAGCATGGCCCACTGACCTCCAGAGTGTCCACCTTCTACCCTGACCATCTCAGACCATCCTGTGATTTCAGGATGCAGATAAATCCCTATGTCATGTCATTACACCACTATGGCTGGCCATACGTATAGGCAGGGCAACATTTTTGCCCAGTGTAAACTTACGGAGATAGGAAGAGTTTACATTAATATCAACCAAGGATTCCTCACGGGGCTATTACCCGTAGGCATCCAGTTCTGAGCTGTAACCTGGTGGTTACAAACCTGGAGGGCTCTGGCCTGCCCTCCCAGCCAGGTCTCCTTGCCAGCCCCATCAGCAGGTACCACACTGACTCCTTGCATCGTGCTGACAGCTGTAGTTGTCCTGCTGGTGATGCTCTGTGCACCACTCTGATGTCAGCACATCTTTCCCTGTCCAGGTCTATCGGCTCGGGGGAATTGCCAAGCTGGTTGAGCTGCTCCGCAGCACGAACCAAAACGTACAGCGGGCGGCAGCCGGAGCCCTCCGGAATTTGGTCTTCAGGAATCCAACCAACAAGATAGAAACCCGGCGGCAGAACGGGATAAGGGAGTGTGTGAGCCTCCTGAGGAGGACGGGGAACACCGAAATTCAGAAGCAACTGACAGGTACACAGAGCCCCATAGCTGGTGTCAGCCCAACTCTGATAACATTGGCCTCATACCCCCAAAGTGATCGCCCCCCTCTCTTCATTCATCCACGTTGCCTGGCACACAAAAGGCCATACTGAAAAAGGGGATGTTTTATGCTTCTATTGCATGAAATGGTGACCTAAGGCACGAGGCAGGGGAAGTCCTGGCTCTTCAGTGTCCCACGGGGTTTCCCCAGATTGCAATTGCCCATTCAGGTTGTTTCTATCTCAGGTTTCTCTGTGTTTGCTGGGACATTCTCTTGCCTTCCTGCACCCTGTTGGCTATCTGGTTGGTGTCTCATCTTTTCTTGAAGGATTGACCCATCTTTGTTGGTGCAGGTCACCTTCAGCTCTGCCTGAGGTCCTGTGTGCAAACCTTCACAAGATTCCTGGAGAAACGCTTTCCTCCTGCAACCTAATAACAGGAAACACCAATTCTGGGAGGAGGGACAATGCTTAGGTGCACATCTCCACGTGATACTGTGTTCCTGTTGCCCATCTCCTATAGGGATAGGCAGAGACTTGAGCTTATCTCCATCTCCTTCCTAGGTCTGCTCTGGAACCTCTCCTCCACTGATGAATTAAAAGAGGAGCTGATACAAGAGGCCCTCCCCGTCTTGACAGACTGTGTTATCATCCCTTTCTCTGGCTGGTCTGATGGTGGCTGCAACAGGACAAGGGAAATTATCGACCCCGAAGTTTTCTTCAATGCCACAGGGTGCTTGAGGTGAGTCGGCAGGCGGGGACGTACTGAATCCTCTACGTGGGGAAAACAAACATTTCCCCATCATTTTAATAACTGTTTTAGCACAGCACAGTCCCACTGCACTGGGCTGTACCTGGCAGCCCTGACCCTGCAGCTCGTTGTGTATTGGCCTGCCTGTCAGATGGGTCACCCACAAAGAGGAGGAGCAGGCTGAGCCCAGCGTAGCTCCCTTTTCCACACCAAACCCAGAGCTCTTTTGCAGAGGATCTCCGTCCCGACTTGCTGTTTCTCCTACCGCCCTCCTCCACTTGGATGCGAGCTCCTTGTCTCACTGGGAACAAGTGGAAAAAAAAAAAAAAAAAAAAAAAAAACCAACCCAAACACCCCGTATAATTAGGTACTTTCATCAACTGCAGCTCTCCCCGAGGGAGCTCAGTGCCGACCGCACCCTTAGCAGACATGCAGCCAGCAGGAGCTGTATCTGCCTGTGAAACAAAATGGTTGAATGCAGCATGGGCCTTTGGGGACGCGATGCTATCGTCCTCTGCGGCTGGGAACTGGGTCTGAAAGGCAGCCTTTCCCTGCAACTGCACACGGTGATGTGTATGCAAAGTGCTCCACTTTTAAGGCAATCCCAACCCAACGCCATCCCAACCCGCTGCCACAAAATTAAAATAAGGGAAGAAGAGTATGGTGGTAGTGTAAAAGGAGCTTTCCGTGCAGTGTAACTCCAGCTAGGCTCTCTCTTGGGGATGCAGTTGGAGGCAGGGATATCCAGCAGCGAGCTGTGCTGGGCTGCAGGGCAGTGAGGAGCTCAGTGGGGCAGCAGGAGAGCAGGACGGTTGGGCTGGGAGCCCCCACTCACTCTGACTCACAGCACTGCCACATCATAGGGATGTGGCATGCACGGGGATGAGAAGAGCCTTGGGTTTGCCCTGGGCTCAAGCCATTGCCGCTCAAGAATTTCTGGATTGCAGATGAATTCATGTTAATGAAGAGGCTGCAAATCACAGCAAACATCAAATCCAGTTCTGGAACGCCTGCAGTGAATATCTCACAATGACTGCCAACCTCTCTTTGTTTTTCATTTGCAAGCTACAAGCCAATAAAATAGAGAAGAAAAAAAAAAGAAAAAAGGAAAAAAAATAGCAAAAAGTCATTTCCTGCTAGTGGAAAAACTCCCCTGTATTGGCAGCAGCCTGGCAGAGTGCTGCATTACAACCTGGTCAGTCCCATTGGTCAGAGCCATTGCTGCTCTTCAGCGTGTCTGCCCCCATCTCTCTAAACACTGACTGTGACCCTTTGCAGATCCACTCTTACAACCATTTGCATCTTCCTGTTTTTCCCAAGAATAACAGGTAGTCTTTACTCCATCTTCTTGTTTTATCAAACACTCCTCCAAGGAGGCAGTCAGCCTACAGAACATCACTGTGTGTCCCTAAGGCCAAACACTGCTGGTCGTTATTCTCCCTAGGAATACATCTTCTACACAAAATTCCTTAAGAAGAATTTTCTCAGAGGAAATCAATCCAGATGAGCAACACGGGTGCTCAGCACAAGAGTGATCCCACAGATGGCCTCCAGTGTGAGAGCCTTGCTCAATCTCCAAAAAAACCCAGCCAGTTAATTCAGCCAGCACCATGGCCAAGGTCTCTTGCTGATAGAGATTAGGGCAAATCCAACTAACCCTCTCTCCTCCTTCTCTCCTGACTTGCTCTGCAATGGCTTTCTTCAGAAACCTCAGTTCTGCAGACATGGGACGTCAGACCATGCGAAATTACCCTGGCTTGATCGATTCTGTCATGACCTACGCCCAGAACTGCGTGGCTTCTAACCGACCCGATGACAAGGTACCAGCTGCTGCTCCATAGCTCTTCACTGGTGTGCATCCCCACAGTTAATAACTGCAGTTTTGGGAATAGCTCCAAAGCCCTATCGAGCAAACCTGAGAGGGGACGGGACTCTTTGTGGCTGCTCTTCCCCTACCAAATATGCAGTATAGCTTTTAAAAGTATAACTATGGCATGGTATGTGTCCTCTCTGTAGCTATATGCAGTGCTGCTTCGTGTTTCTACCAAATGTGATGATTGCATTTTTGTTCTGGGGGTGATTTCAGTCTGTGGAGAACTGCATCTGCATCCTGCACAACCTCTCCTACCGCCTGGATGCTGAAGTTCCCAACAAATACACCCAACTCAACCACATGGCCCGGAGCGTTTACATGGACAAAACTCTCACAGGCTGCTTCAACAGCAGGAGTGGCAAAATGGAGGTAAGACGTGACGCAGAGGGCTTGGCAGTGTGCTCCTCAGCTCCCAGCAGGGACTGCAAGTGAGGAGCCGGATCTGAGCTTCCAATTTCTCATCTCTTTGTAGAATGATGAGTATGGTGTCCCTCTCCCTGAGGAGGATTTTAAACCCAAGGGACCCAGCTGGCTGTACCACTCGGATGCCATCCGCACCTACCTGTCCCTGATGGATCACAGCAAGAAAGATGCCACCCTGGAGGCTTGTGCTGGAGCCCTGCAGAACCTCACTGCGAGCCGAGGGCTGGTAAGCACTTCTCTGCACACACGTGGCCAAACGTGCCAGCACCTTACAGCGGTCAGGAGCAGAAATGGCCTCCTTCAACCTCAGGGCAGTATTGCAGGGCTTTCCACACTTGATGATGCAGCTCAGGTGCTTATAAATGCCAAAGATGAGTCCTTGCAGAGGCTAAAGGCAGCACCCCAAGGATCTATCCCAGGTCTGTGTGCCTTTCCAGGAGCTTCCTCCTGAAAGGGGAAGGGGACAGACTCCATAGCAGTGCCTGTGTGATGGGACAAGGGGAGGCGATTTCAAACTAAAAGAGCTGAGATTCAGATTGGATATAAGGAAAAAGCTCTTTACTGTCAGGGTGGTGAGGCACTGCACAGAGAGGCGGTGCTGCCCCCGTCCCTGCAGCACCCTGAGGACAGAGCAGGGCTGTGAGCTCTGCTGGGGCTGGGGATGTCGTGGTGCATGGCAGGGAATGGGACCAGATGGCCTTAAGGGCCCCTTCCAACTCAAACCATTCTGATTCTACAACTGTACAATTTCTACTCTTGGTCGTAACACCAACATCTGTTGGTAGTGGTACCTCCCTGCGAGACACCAGTGACTCCAGATGTGCACCTGTGGCCAGATGTCATTTACAGGAGAGAGAAAGGATGCGTGTGTTTGAAGCGGGAGGTGGCTGCAATCACAGGGTGGGTTGTGCCGTGGGTTGTGGTCGCATCACAACTGCTGGTGAAATCACCCTCACAGACAGATGTCCTATAGACACCTCAGTATGGCAGCACGAAGGTGACATGGGCTGTGATGCTGTGGGCGAGTTGCAGTGCCCAGTGTTGCTGCCGTGAGCGTGTCCCCACAGGCTGTGCTCACGTGGGCAAACCTCGACTTGTCTGTTTGTGTCAAACTTCATCAATTCTAATTTAAATAGGATGGCGAGGGAGATAAGGGGTAATTATTTTGTACGTAGGAGAGGTGTGTCACGTGTGCGGGGCGTTCCACCCAGCAGCTCAGTGTGACTCACTGCAGGAGCCTTTGCTGGATGGCATGAACAGCTCTGACCTGCTGGGAGCTTTGGTTCCAAGGCTTTCTTTTGGGTTACGAGTCTTTCAATGTGAAATACTTCGGGGGTTTTCCTTCTAGTTTAACTAAACTGCCTCGCTAATAACGCGGATGGAGGTTGTCTCAATATGGGTAGAGCATCAATCAAGAGTGGCTTCTTGGGGGCTGGGAAGGAAAACAAAGAATTGTCCCAACAGTGGTGAGATAACTGGTTTCAGCCTTCTGGAATAGGGTGGTTGGGACAGACCTGGGTGTACATTAGGGTCTTCTTTCACGGTTTTTGTTCCATCTCAGAGCTGGAATTGGGCTGGATTGCTGCATCTGTTGGTGCTTAAAGGAGAGAGAAACAGAGGAGAAGCTTGCAAGGCTTACTATAGCCCTTTAGCTGTTATAGGAGGACTATGAATCTCTTCTCAGCCTCAGCTGTATACATATCAGTTGTGCTGGCATGGGTCTGTAAGGCAGTGCATGTGTCTCCTGGCACACAGGAGGGACACTGGGGTGCCTCCCAGGCTGTTCCCTCCATCTCCACGTCACTGCTGATGGATGTGTGTCACTCCAGCAGTGTGATGGTATCTAGTGGCGTGGTAGCTGAGAAGTTGAGATTAAACTCTATTAATAAGTGGGCAATTTATTAATGGTATGTGCTTCAAAGTCCAGGAGCACTCAGCTGCATTGGCTACGCCCTAAGATCTCCTAGACTTACGTAAGCAAACATGAAATCAGGTTCCAAGATGTTTATTTTTGTCCTTCAGCTCATTATTTAAAGGTGTCATTAGCCGTTTCTATGCCAAAGCAGCCAATAGTTGTAGCATGGCAGGGAGCTAAGCAAGGGCAAGTGGACATGAAAGGTAAAATTTCTCCATCGGTTGGGAATATCAGTTAGGAGATCCCTCAGGCCTCTAGAAGGAGGACAGAAACCCCTGCCATATGACAGAGGATGAGAGGCTGACTTATGGAGGAGTAAATGACAAATAAGTGGGATTAAGGCAGGAGAAAGTGTGCTTATTTTGTAGTATGGTCACGTATGTCCAGACCTGCACATCGTTGCAGGTGCATTCTTCCAGCACTGGAAGTCATGACAATTTGCTGTTCTGTCTCTTAGATGTCCAATGCCATGAGCCAATTGATTGGGGTGAAGGAAAAAGGTTTGCCTCGCATAGCACGGCTCCTGCAGTCCAACAGCTCCGAAGTTGTCCGGTCTGGTGCTTCTTTGCTGAGCAACATGTCCCGACATCCCATCCTGCACAAAACCATGGGTAAGCCATTTCCACCACGGTAGAGTTCAGTGCCATGTCTAGTTCGTACCTCTCCAATATCGGCTCACCTCACTTTATAAACCCTGTAAAAAGACTCAGCCAAGCTCCCATACCGGACAAACTGTGTCATTTGTTCTGGTCAAAAGACCATTACAGGTGATAGAAGCAGGCTTAACACAATGCATGCTCCCTCAGCCTTTACAAGCAGATGGTGTGCTTAATGGGCAATGATGAGGATGTTGGGAGGATGTAGTGCAGATGATAGAATTTGGGGAACTGAGCCAGACTTGACCCAAATCATTACCTTTCCAGAGGTCCTCACCACAGTTCTGGAAACCAACTAAAGCTGCCGTGCTGTTATCATCCAGCATTATTAGTGCCTCCTCTGGGGAATAACACTGCATTCTTGCGCTGAATAATGCTAACACAAATAATTTCATCCACCTGTGCTGAGTTTATGTAAATGTTGATTGGAACATTCCGCCTCTTCAGCTCACCAGGTGCTCCCAGATGTATCACGTCTCCTGTCATTCCAGTCTGGAAATACCAACAGCTATGGCGAGATCATGACATCAGCTTGTTACACTCTGAGGAACCTCATCATGTCCAATCCACACCTGGGAAAGTGTTACTTGACAAGCAACATGCTCAATAATGTAGTAAGCCTGTGCCGAAATGGGTGAGTCTGGGGCAGAAGGCATGGAGAGGGTCTCAGGAAATTTGCTGCTCTGCTGGGGTTATGCTTAGCTTGAATGTTCACACTGGTTCATCTTTTGGTTGGAGCATTCACTTCAAATGGCCAAAACACAGCTGTGGTGAAGTATATACAGATTTTATAAGTAGGTCCTCTGGTTTAATCATCTGTGCTCCATGAACTTCAACAGCTGAGTATTCTCAACAGATTTTACCACTTTTCCTTTTGGGAATGGTTTGAGTTTTTGTGCCCTCTGTAGCCCCGTGCAAAAGCTTGTCAACTCTTCTGAACTGTGTGCTCAGTTCTGCCCAAATTGCAGTATGCAGTCTTTGACCATATCTCCATTCCAAGACTCTCATCTCTCCTCCCATCTGGCTTTAAAATACCTTGTGCAAGCAGCCTATTGTTTCCTGTTATGAGAAGACATTCACATGCCTTCTCCATCATCTTTTGACAAACCACTTACAATTTACCTCTTGTTCTATGGCAGCAAGGAGATTCTCAGTCATTAGCAGTGGCTTCTCTGTTTAGGTTGGGCCTCAGCCAACAAATATCAGTCACTTCACTGCTTTTATATGCTTCCACTCTGCAGCAAGCTCAATTAACACCAAACCCTGCCCTCTTCTAAGTCTTCATTGTTATGAATGGCATTAACTTCTGCCTGAAGTCCCGCTTGGGCTCCCTCAGACCAGTCCTCAGCTCATTACTGCTTCAGCAGAGCATTGCACAACCAGGGCCATGCACAGCTAAATTGCCTGGGCTGTTCAGCATGGTGAGCTTTGTTTCCAGTGACTCACTGACTGTGAGAGTTACTAAACTCCAGAGAAGTCTTCAGTGTATTTCTCCTGACGGTATCACAAATCCCTCCTGAGAAACTCCCATGTAAGTTTGAATTGTTCCTTTTATTGCACTATATATTTCTGTCCCCATGGATTTCTATGCTGTTCTTATGAAAAAGAAAATGCCAGCAATTTACATTTAGGACTCATCTTGCTTATTCCAACCATACATTTCAGATGGTTCCATAGATCAGATATAAAAGCCATGTCCCTTCTAGAAATTGGAGCTAACTTTTCCCACTTCCCTGTACTGTCTCTGAAGGCAAATGGGAAATTTCAGGGTAGAATTTGTCTATTCCTATGTCAGAAAGAGCCTCACATTCCCTGATGGCAGTAACTGGACCCGACAGCTCCTGCGGGGCTGCTGGCAATGCTGGACTCAGACCTCATGCTCCCCAAATTGTGCTGCTGGACTCCTCTTTCCCAGCCTCACAGCCAGCAGAAATAGAGAGCACAGAACATCCCAGCGGTGACCGAATCCCCGTGGGGAGCACCGTACCACAATTGCAGCCTGTGAGCATTTTGCAGAGCTTTCTCTGTTGGTTTGCCTCAGTTTCCCTGCAGACACTCTTGTAGTCACATTTTAGAAATAACTCCCAGGCTGCAGGTGAGTTATGGGTATTTTCTCACATTCCTCCCAGACACCAACCAGCACCCCTCAGAATTGGGCTCCCTTGCCCTGATGCTCCATGTAGCTGTATTCCCAGTGAAAGGCATAAACAATTCCACAGTTTATCTGATTGCTGTGGTTTCTTCTCCTTCCTGGTGCATCCCAATTAGATAATTGTCTCAGTCTCCTGCATATATCCTCCTCTATGACACAGCCTTCACAGTGATGATGGCGTGTGCTCACGCTGTTATTTTCAATCCAAGTTAGCAAAATATTGCATATCCTAAACACCTCTGAGTTCATTGCTTTCAATGGCTGTTTGGCCAGATTATAATTTTCAGACACAACATTTTTCTAAGTGTGGTCATTCTGATGACAGCGTATGGGATAGTTATAACCAGAGGAACAATTTTGCAATAAAACCTCCTTCTCTTGGCCCAAAGCATTGCTCAAGAATTTCTCATGTGCTGCTCTTCCAGTCCTCCAGGCAGTGCCAGCAACACGATCTGCATCTCCCATGCAGCCACTCTGACCAGATTAAGTGTGGTCATTTCTTGTAGGCTGGAAGATTTTGGTACCATTTGTTGTGTCTTTTAGAGAAGTGCCCTGGATTCACTCTTTGGGTTTCCACGCTCACAGGATGATGCTTGCAGGTCCCACACTGCCAGCCCCATTTCTCATTGGCCCAATGCGCTGTTTGGAGGACACAACATTTTCATAGGAGCAGAAGCTCATAGGATCATAGAATCACTGAAGTTGGAAAAGACCTCTGAAGTCCCCAGGTTCAACCCCAGCTCATCCCCACCATGCCCACCAACCATGTCCCTCAGTGCCACGTCTACCCTCTTCTTGAAAGCCTTCCAGGGACGGTGGTTTTGTGGAGCTGTACCATGCTGGGAGCTAGGGAGGGTCTGATCCTGATCCCCACGGCTGGGACAGGCTGGGGCTTTCACAGGGCTCAGGACTCTCCCAAAGGCAGGACATGGTCCAGCAGATCAGGAGCAGCGATAACAGCTGGCACTGAGGTTTAGATCTGGGTTGTCATATGAAATGTTCCAGAATTATAGAAGATACTGTTATGACTCATGGTTTCGGAGCTGTTACGTGAGCAAGTATCTATTAAGTTGTGCTGAGCAAGGACTTCTGGTTACAGTTGTTGTTGTGAGCGCAGAGCCCTTCCCTGTGCTGCCCTCCTGAGGGATTCGCCCACAACGTCCCCATGGAGCCCACATTGGCACCACTTCACTTCCTCACCCTTCCAAATTTCACACTCCAGAAACACTTCTTCAGCTCCATTCGTGAGCTCAGATCTTCCCTTTCTGTTTGTTCTGCTCTGGTCCCAGGGCATGCTGTTATATAACATTGCTGGGGGAGCAATGAAGGTTGGACTCAACGATGGGTCCCTTCCAACTGAGAGTATTGATGGTTCTATGATTTCATTGGCATTCATTTACCAAGCCAGCGAGCGCCCGGCTGGAGGTGGCTCCTGGTGCTGCTTTGTGGCTTTCCATAACTCCTCAATGTTGCTTTCATCTTCCCAGCTCCTGTCCAAAAGCAGCTGAAGCTGCTCGCCTCCTCCTGACAGACCTTTGGTCGAACAGGGAGCTCCAGAGTGTGCTCAAGCAGGTAAGGAGAACACCTCTGCATTTTGGCTGATGGCGCAGCCCCATGACACATTCCGTGAGGTTGCAGAGGTCTTTGTGAGGTTCCTTCTCACTTTTCCCCCATTTTCTTCTGCACCCAAAGCCCTACCCTGTGGTCGCATCACCCCTATAGTCAGAATAACCTCTACAGCCCCAAAGAGGAATATTTAGGATTTGTTTTATATACCCTGCAACAGAAACTGCAGAAGTGCTGCACAGTCAGGGCGCAGAGCCAGATCCCAGCCCTGTGGCTCGCTTTGAACCAGATGGGTTTTTCCAGCTCACCAACAGCAGCACCTGCACAGAGCAAATGGCTAAATTAAAGAGAAGGAGTAACATCCACAAAGGGGAATACCCCGGGGGCAGGAAGGCAGAGAGAGCCTGAATATTGTTCTTCTCTTAACGGTGAGGGACTTTCTCCGTGGGAGCTGGTGTAGCTTTGCGCTGGTGCTGCCGACTCGTTTTGGTGGGACTGGGTCATGCAGGTCCTCCCACAGATGGTCGTTGCATTGGGTGCACATCAGGGTGGAAGTCTGCAAGCAGAGATGCACCATGCATGTATCTGTGCCATTTTTCCAGGATGGGCAATAAGATGAACTAACATTCACTAAAGGACTGAGGCAAGATTTCCCCTGGTAGAGCTGGCAGAGCCCAGCAGAAAGGGGAGGTCCATCCATGAAGGTCCATCCATGAAGGTCCATCCATGAAGGTGACCACTCACGTGTTGAGGACATGAAGAGAGTGGAGGAGTCTGTTTGAGAATGGAGCACGCTTTATAAGGATGCTCTTGAATTGGCCAGGGGGGGTCTTCCACAGCAGTTGATAGTTATCCATTCAGAAAGCAATGCGCATTCACTGCTCTCCGTATCCACCTGCTTTTTCAGCAAGGATTTGATAAGAACATGATGGGATCTTTAGCTGGGACGACCTTCAGGACTCTTCCCTCCAGATTTTAGGAGCCTCTCCACACACATTTGGGCTGCAGGTGAGAACGGGGCCCTCATCCATGGGGAAGGGGTGGCATGGGGGCACAGAAACTGGGGACAGGGCAAGGGAAAAGACTGAAAGTTGGGTACGAATGAAGAGAAATGATATCATCAGTGCTTTAATATCTGGGTCTCTCTTTTTCTTTGTTTTTCAGAGTTTGGAATTGGTTCATCTCCAGGATCACACCCCGTTCACAGTTACTTAGGATGTTAAAGATGTAGAGTGTTTGTGAGTTAAACTCAACTGTAAAGCAAACCAAAGATATGGATTTCATGTGGATCGTACTGATATTTTTAAGCATTTTCTTCTTTTTTTGGGGGAGGGGGGAGGGGGAGAAGGGACTTTTATTGAGGTTATAGTTTCTTGATGTCAATATTTTTATTATTTTTTTGCAAAGAGTGTGTCTGTGTAACTGTGCCCACATTGCTGTGTGTGTGCATGCGGCCAACGCTCACACCTGGCGAGTAGGGCTGAGTCCCCACCAAAACTCAGTGTCAGCTGTGCAGTTTCAGCCCCTCGCAGTTATGACAAAGCCCACCCGATCCATGCAAAAATGCTGCCACACCAAATTCTTGTCACAACCCATTTTCACCCAGAAGTGCAAAAATTGCCAGTTTGATGTTGTCCCCACGTTGCATATGGCTGTTATCAACAGATACACACAAAACTCTTCTTTAAAAAGGCTGCTTCTTCCTAACATTTATGAACATGGGCTTCTTTCCTGCTTCTGATTTTTTTTTTCTCCTATGAGCTCTCATAGTTATTAGTATTTCCTCTCCTGTCACCTGAACTCTTTATCTCCAGAAGCAAATCGTTGGCTGCTGATTCTCCCCTGGCACTCAGCAACTGCTCTCTGAAGCTGTATGGACAGTGCTGACACAGAGCATGGTCTCACCAGGTGCCAAATCAATCACTGGGCACTGGAACAATGCAACCATGGGACCATGTATGGAGAAATATGGCTTTTGGGGAGCTGGAGCCAGGAGGAGGAGCTGGCTTTGCCCAGCATCACTGAGTGCCAAGAGTGAGGGATGTGGCCTTTGTCATCACGCTTTGTTTGTACCAAGCAATGTAAAGAAATAGCAAAAATGGAAAAGCATGTGAGGAATGTGAGCTCGGAGGCACAGGGGGAGGATCAGCAGAGGACGCGTTGCAGGGGCACAGAGATGTGCAGATGTGGAGGGAGCAGGAGGCGTTTGGGAAGGATGGGTTATGGAGCTGAGTCTGGGCAGGGAGAAGCAGTCTTGTGTTTGCAGGGTTCAGCTCCTCGCTTGGTGACAGCTGGCACATCCCATTGACCTGGCAGGCCTGACTTGAGCTCTGCTCTGAGTAGCATCATCCCCACTCAGAGCATCATCCCCACTCTGCAGGGCGCAGAGCGAGAGGAGTGCCAGCCGCTTTTCTCTTGGTCTACAAAGGGTGGCTCAGCCTTGTGCACTTTAATGAGCAACAGCTATTTGCTTGCATTCACCCACGTTCAGTCGAGAGCTTTCTGTGCGGAGCTCTCAGCCAAATGAAAGAGCAAAAAGCACCTTTGAAGTGGAGAGCTGGAACCAGGCGGATCCGGTAGGACAGTTTCAGGAGCATTTAAACAGCAGTGGAGGAGCCCAGGCCTGTGGGCATGCCCTCACCACGGCTGCCAGCTGTTGCATAGCTGGTGTATGTCCTCATTTCATGGTTCAGAATGTTTTTGGCAGGACCCAAGTCTATGGACGTCCAGAAAGGCTGCAGTGTCCGCAGGAGGGGTTGTTGCATTTTGCTTTAGGATTACGCTGCGTGCAATTTTGCATTCAGATTTGTTCCTGTAATTACACATTAGGCAGAAGTCCTGGGAGCTAATGTTTTTCCCTGTAAAATTAATTGGGAAAGCTAACTGCAAAATGTAATGATGGAATATTGAGGAAATTCATTCTAATTGACTGTTATTTGAGCTTTATTTGAACACAGTGCTGCTGCTTTCACCGGTAATGCAACTTACAGCAGCACCATATTAGGCACAAAGAGCTGCAGTAATCATCCCACAATTAAATTTACAACTCCTGGAGGTTTCGTTACAAAGCACTGAGCTCAGAGGATTGGATGCATCATTCACATCAGCGTGAGTGATGTACGGCAAAGCTGACCAAATGATACAAATGAAAACTGTCTCCATCCTTGGAGATCTCATATAGAATCGCGGAATTACTGGAGCTGGAAGGGGCCTTTGAAGGTCATCTGGTCCAACTCTCCTGCAGTGAAGCTGATCTTCAGCTCTTGGCTGCACACAGCCCTGGATGCTCCCCCTGCCCTGAGCTGGGAGCTCCCTCCAGCCTCAGTTTCCCTACAATGCTGCAGGTTGCTGCTCTCATACCTCAGAATACAGCTAACCCAGGAGAGCAGGGCCGAGCTGCAGCTCCTCTGGCACCCCTGGGCTCTTTGCAGCTCTTTTTCCCCCCGAGGAAACTCTCTGATACTCATCTCTGTTTCCCTCTCAGTCTCTCTGTGTTAAATCTGGACTACAGACTCTACCCACGTAGGTGAAGTGATGCTGATGTCTGGCAGTGTAAGGAAAACCTCTGGTGTTGCTCATAGCCAGCAGTCTGGGGACCTTCTTTTCCAAACCACGCTTCTCCCAGGGGCAGAGCTCAGCACCGGGATGCTGCTTTCACCCTTTTTCCACCAATATTCTTCCTTCAGGGGAGACATTGCTTCATAGAGGCACGTCTTTAGCTGTGACATGCTCCTTGCTGAGCTGTTTTCCTGTTTTTTCCCTGTGTAAAAGGCAAGGCAGGGTGGATCTGCAGAGATACAACTGGGGCAGGTCTGCAGGGCATGGGTTGGAGTGATGGAGAACTACTGAGGAGGGAAGGACCACAGCGAGCAGCACCCTGATCTCTGCCAGCAGCAGAATAAGAGCAGTTGGGGCTTGATTTGTGCGCAGGACACACAGCCATGTAAATAAATACCACGCTTGTTTGTCCTGGGCTTAGCAGAGCTTTTTGGCCTGTTTTCTCTTAAATGCTTTATTTGTTTCGTGTATGTACAATCCAACCCACCCCAGCATTTCAGAAGCCTCATGGACTGCATGAAAGGCAGAAGGCAGTTTTATTCCTCTCTGACCACACAGCAGTTTGAGACCACCCGAGCCTGCCAGTCCATAGCTATACAGTGTATTCTGTAAGATATAGGTATGTGAGAATAATGTATCAGAGTTTTGTTTTGGCTGTACTGTATGTATTTGCTTCATTGGAAAAGCTGAAATCAATAAAAATTGCTGGAATTTCTTCAAGCCAGTTGTTGCACGTGGATTTATTTTGGTTGTCTGGCCGTGAGCTTAATTGGGGAGTCACCAGGAGTTACCACTTCAGCCTATGGAGGTCTATCTGTTGATTTCACCATTCAGGTGTCACTGGGATGGGACCCTGGAGTTTCCTCCAAGCAGTTATGGTCACTCCAAGGCCATCGTTTGCATATGGTATGATTATTTCACCCTGAGTGTATCACTAGCACTTTTCTATGCCGGTGTCTCTGTGTCATTTAGCACCCATTCCTTATTGGTCTGTAGTTCACTGAAGTTTCACACACAAACATCACCTTTAGTCCTCAGGCACACGGTGATGCGTGGACTCTTCATGCTCATCAGGAGCAAATTTAAGGCTGCTTCTGCTCTGGGGATTTCCCAGCCTGCTCCAAGGAACTGCTGTCAGCAGCACTGAAGAGTTTGGTCTCTGCTTTGCACCCTGCTGTAACCTGGTGTACACGGGGATTGAGGAGTGTGGGGTGCACAGAAGACACAGTGCTCTCCATGCTGGGGAGCTGAAAGCCAGCCAGGAAGCAGCACTCTCTTGATCTCCATAAGAAGATGGCTCTTCAAAGAGGAAACCTGCCAAAGGGAACATGATCTCAGCTACAGAGTGTGTTTGGTTTGTTTACTCATGGCAAGGCTTTGGAATGATGCTCAGCCCTGACCAGTATCTTACAAGAGGATTCGTAGCTATCAGACAGGCTTGGCACATCCTCAAATCCGTGCTCAGGAACAGGGGAGGACATCCTCCCATGCTGCAGAGCTCCTCTCTGAAGCACCCTCTGCTGAGACCTCTGAGGGGTGGGAGGACAGCAGGGGATGCAGCTCAAAGGCAAAGCCCCAAAACCCAAACTTCTTAATCAGTCTTGGATGGAACTCACACACCAACACTTTGAAACCCAAATTGCACTGGCAACCACCATCATTCCTTACTCAAGCTGCTTCTAGGCCATAGTGCAGCAGGCATGTTTCCAGTTGGTTTTGGATGGAGTGCCTCAGTAATTGCCTTTTAAAAGCCCTTCTGAAGCAACGTATCCAGAACTCCTTGAGAGGATTAATTGTCAGTACCACATGTAGTGATGGTGTCCATTCCACAGCTTTTTCAGGTACAAACAGCATCTGCTGGCACAGCTGAGTCCAGTCATATAAGTTACAGGCTATGAGAGCAAATAGTCTACATGATACATTACCCAGTGTTTGGGTCTCTCTATATCTAGATATATATAGATAGATAGATAGATATAGTTTGAAGCATATAAAGTGAATACCAAGAATCTTGAAAATGTTTGCATTTGGGACCAGTATCCTTCATACAAGCACACAAGAAAAGCTAATTTTCAGGCAGGTGTAGTGGCAATGCTAAGTCATGGCTTGAAGCAGAGATGGAGCAGCTGGTGGGAAGGCAGGGCCAACCCAGGGGAGCTCAGGTGCATAGAGTGCAGCTGATTGACTGGACGGAATGCAGCCAGGATGCATCCCTTCCCAGAACTCATTTAAGGGTTGGCAGTGGAGGTGAGGGTATTTCACTGGAGATCCCTGCATATCTGAGGCCTTCTGAAGGTAAGCAGCTGCTTTCCTTTATTTCTGTACCCACAGCTGTTGCATTTGAGCTCCCTTGCTGCAGCTCATGATCTTGCTGCTCTGCTGTCATTGCTGGGCTTTCCATAGTGTTACAGCAGGGAATCTTGTAGATACACACTGTGTTGTGTTCAGAGCATTCCTGGCCCCATGGGATGTGTTCCCCACAGATCCCAGGCATCCCCCAAAATGCTCCACTGCCCCAGGTCATCGCCAAAAGCCGTTCCCAATTTGGGCTCATTAAACAGCCCAGAGATCACACTGCAGAGCACACCGAGCCTCATCCGCACACCACAGCAGCACAAACAACCCGGTGGTGCCACCACCCCATGCTGGAGCACAACAGAGTTCCCCTATCTTGGTTTCCCCAAGCAGAAGCACTGCTGTGGCATCCCAGTCCCATGTAACACATTCCTCCAG